GAGTCGACGAATGCGAACCAGCGACGGTAGACCTGCGGGGAGGCGACGGGAAGGACGGCAAACCAGGAAACCGATTATTACATTGAAAGAAAACAAAAAAAAGGAGGATTGTTTTCGTGGCAGAGAGTTTGTATCTGCCCGACAGTCAGATTCATTTCGCTTACGCCACAAGAGCGGCCAGCGCTACGTTCGTTACGAAGCGCGGCGTTTCGTGTTGTGCAACTCAGAATCTCTTTTCGTCCCAACGACTTTTGATGATTCGCAAAGAGCGTTTGGCGTTGAGAGATTCAGTTGCAGTCTCCGTCCGAGCGGCACTCACCCGCATTTCCTCCTTGCTGCACATTGCGGGCTGCGCCGCTACGAGAACGTCTCCGCTCGGCATGCTTCGTGGAGCAAATGTTCAGAGTCTTGCGGAGAAAAGGTTTCGTGGAGTGAGAAATTATGCGTATGTCTTTCAAAATGTCACTATGCGTTTCCAAATATATGACAAACTATCAGGCTTCAAGATCCTTGAACTTAGACGCACGGTGAGAAACTATCAAGATGAGTGGAAGAATGAAAGTCCAGGGAACAGCCATGACATTTTAGCATGTGACAGGAGTGTCGAGGGAGGAGCACGAGGCAGCAAGAGGCGCAGCGCAGAACCAAGGTGCGCGGGAGGAGTCACGGCTGGTACACGGCACACATTCATCTTTAACACATGCATCACGGTTTTTCTGCGATTCGCTGCGATTCAAACGGTATCAGCGAGAACCGTGTAGAAAACGTATTCACCGTTGTCGAATGTTGCTGGACTGCCCGAACCAAATTCGCTAGGCATTGGTTGGAGCACAGGCAGTCAAACTGATCTGAACGCGTTTCTCCGCAGCCCATTGGAGGAAAGCGCATTGGTGTTGGGCGCCTGTTGCGGTCTGACATTGTACGCGTCACAAGCACGGAAACGCGCATTCGCTGACCTCAGGATAACCCTACCTAGGCGGTGCCCGCCGACCTGCAGCACGTGTAGCCTAGATCCTGTCATGCAGTAAGAGGTATCCTACGTACGGTATTATTATTTCCAGAAGAACAAGGTGGCAGGCAGATGTATATCCAAATTACTTCAACAGGCATGAGAATTTGGCAGTGCTAAACAAGCCATCTAAACCCATTTGTGTCACAGCAACATTACTGCTGGATCTGACTTCCCATGGTCAATGCTTAAGCACATGTTTTCCTAACTTCCTAACACAGGTGTGCAAACCTGAACACATACCGTACATGGCACCGTATAAAAATACTCCGCACAGCTCCCTCCCACCCTCTTAACCTGTTCATCCGAGTTCGCTTCAAACAAAAAAAACAAAGAATCTCCAGCTAAACGACTTGGTAGCTTTCCACACTCATCTGTGTTCTCCCTGCAAACTTGACTGGTTGGCCACTGCTTGCTTGAGTCACAGATACCACCTGAAATGGCCAAACAACGGAAAATAGTACTTTGAGAATGCATAAGCTATCCGATTGTACTCGAGTGTCAATTGCTATACGGAGCTCAATGGTGTGATGAGAGTAGTAAGGGGGGCCGTGGAGAAGGCTTGAGAGGGGGGGGGAACAAGGTACCGCCAAGACAGGGAAGGGGAGGGGTTGAAAAGGACATGGGTGAACAGAGGGCAGGACAGGGAAAGCAGGCGAAGGTAGAGAAGGAAGGTGCGAGTGGGCAGAAATAAATATCAGAGTGAGAAGGAGAGAGGGAGGGAAGGGAGAGGGGGTTGAGGGCGTGGTGGGGGAGGTAAACGCAGGGGTGAGGATGAAAGTGATGGAGGATGGTGGAAGAAGGGGTGGGGGGGGGGGGGGGAGGGGGTAGGGTGGGATAGAAAAGGGGTACGTTGAGAACGGATTGGGAAAAGCATGGGGCGTTGGGGAGGCATTCATGAAGGAAAGGGGCGATCAAAGGGGTGGGGTAGGTGGGTGATGGGCAGGGAATGTGAGGGACGGACCTTGACGTCGCAGAATGTCTTGGCGGACGTGAAGCGCACTTCAATGGGGAAGAAGACGTCGGGGTTGGTGGCCGGCACCACAAACTCCATCGACCCACTGCCACACGCGACGCGTGCACCACACGGCGTTGAAGCAGGTGGGCCGCAGGTGAGAACGGTTGGGAACGGGTTGAGAATAGGTTAGTAACAGGCGGGGAACAGGTTAGGAACAGTTAGAGTAACCGACGGGGAATGGGCACAGGACACATGAGGAACAAATGAGCAACCAGTGAGCAAGGGCTAACAAGTGAACAGGAGCGAGGAGAGAGACCCAGGGTGGAGGAGTGCAGTGCAACCACTGTTCTTCTACCATTTGTGACTGAAATTCTCGCACGAACTGACCATGAGAACAATGTGTTGTAACCCATCCTTCACATCAACGCGGTCCCACTGTCTAAATTCAAGCATGTGACTGCAGGTATTGCCCCCCCCCTCGTTACCTGGCCCGGCTAGTTATCTTAGCTTCTTTTGAGCTGGAAAGAGGAGCCAAGACTACAACAAGACCAACAGCTGACAATAGCTGGAAGGCAAATCTTACTTGCGGTTGGAGTTATCGATGAGGTCGATGCACCACTCCAACACGGATCTCCTTGAATCATATCTGCATGCATGCACACAAGGCAGATAGTTGAAACGTAGAGGAAGAACGGCTTCACATCACAGTGTTTCAATTTAAACCACCATGCCCGGAAACCCTAAGAGCTCTGCACCGCATGGGGGTTCGTGGGAATCAAGCGAATGCAAAGCTAGTTCGTGACCTTGGCTCTCCAGCGTAAATCCCTCAAACGGAGTGCATACATCCAGCCCAAAGGGGAAGACAAAAGAAGACGACGGAAAGGAAGGGAAAGGGAAAGAAACGTAGCACGTACCTGGGCTCGCCATCGTAGTCCTTGAGCGTGGGCGCCTCACGCAGCGCCGGCAGCGGGATCTCAACCACCACGTGGCGCAGGTCGAATGCCTGTGTGGCCTCGTACTCTATGTTCACATACGTGTCTGCACCCGACACCGACGGCCAGCAGTTGACTGTGGGAGGGGAAGGCACGGGAGTGCCCCCCCATGGGAATGGGAGCAACGGAAAAGGAAGGCAGGGAAGGTTAGTCTGAGCAACTAAGCAAGGGCAGCGTGGCCTCGTACCCTCTGTTCACATACGCGTCCGGCCCCAGCACCGATGGCCAGCAGTTGACTGCGAAAGTGGGAAACACGGGGATGGGAGCCACGGGGTTCAGGAAAGTTCAATCTGAGCTCCTATGGAAAACCCTGTGAGGTATTGTACGCTATGGTTCATGTAAGTTGATATCCGTGCCTGACACTGATGGCAAGAACTTGACTGCAGGAATAGGGGCCACGGTTGAAATTCAAGGAAAAATGGGAGCCAAGGCAGGAGGGGATTGTACGCCAGGCGTAAGTGTGGAACGGCCTGAGAGGTGTTATACTCGATGGTCACATGTGTTATCAACCCAAATATGACCGCCAGCAGCTGACTGTTGAAACAAAAACCGTGTAAAACAGGGGCACGGGGAATGGGGAGGACCAGGTACACCGGGTTGCATAATGCACAAGTATGCGGCATGAGGAAGGGCAGAATGGACTGCGCTCGCACCCATGTCCGCGGCTAGCGGGACATAAACAGGCGTTCGGAGAAGAGGGATGAGGTGGGCCATGATATGGGGCTACGGAGGGAATTGTGGGAGAGAATGGAGGAAAAACAAAAGACACAGCCTGGGAGGGACGACCCACACCACAAATTGATGCTCCCTAAGACGTTGCAGCAACAAAAAACGAGAGGAAGAGAGAAACGGAGTGAGCGAGGAAGGGGAGCGAGACATACTGCTGATGGGGACGACGGTCTCGTCCTTGGACTGCATGCGCCACTTGAGGATGCCCAGCGGGCTGCCGGTGGGGAAGGGCCGGTTGGGGTCCTTGAGGCCCAGGATGTTCTGGCTGCCGTACAGCGCCTTGTCAATGTTCGGATGCGTCTTGAATTGGAAGCTCTTGTCATGCCCGCCATCGATCTGCATCAGGGTCAACCAGGAACGAAGGAAAGCAGCAAATTGATATCACACGAGCAGAGCCCCACAGACCCTACGTTCCACAGCTTACAATCGCTCCAAAACAAGCCAGAAGCGTTTACACACAAGCGCCCACACACAAGTCACAACCGCTCCGCACACAAGATACACGTGCTCCACACACAAATGACAACCGCTCCACACACAAGCAACAATTGCTCCACACAAAAAGCACCACCACTTCACACACAAATGACAACCGCTCTACACACCAGTCCCAAGCGTTCCACACCACACGCAACTCACAAACTCCCCACACATGCCTGCCCAGACCGCTGCCACAGTCCCGCCTGAACGCACCTGGATGCGGATGAAGGCGTCCTCCTCCTTGAGCACGGTGAGCGCCATGGTGCCCTGCACCTCCATGTTCTCCAGCCCGCTTGAGTCGACTCAACAGTCACCACACTAGACACCAGCGCTCCACACACAGGCCCAGAGGACACCAGCTCTCCACGTACAAGACACAGACGCTGCACTCGCAATTCACAAGCTCTCCACGTACTCCTCCACCCGCGCCAACGCACCTGGATGCGGATGAAGGCATCTTCTTCCTTGAGCACGGTGAGCGCCATGGTGCCCTGCACCTCCATGTTCTCCAGCCCGCCGTCGCGCTTCCACACCGCCACCAGCTTCTCCTCCACCAGAATCGTGATCGGATCCGTCGCCACGAACGCCGCTGGCCCGCCAGCACCAGCGCCCGCGAGACCGGGACCGGCGGCGGCGGACATGACGTCCTCGACGATGTTCTCGCCCTCCGCCTTGAGCGACTCGAGGAACTGGTTTGTCTTGGTGGACTTGCCCAGCTTCATGCCCATGCCCTTGGACGGCGCCGCCAGACTCCCGCCCGCCCGCCCTGTGGGTTGGTGGAGGAGGGGGGGAAAAGGTGTTGCTTGAACGCGGGGGAGGGATCTGATCGTAGACGGCGCGGGGAATGTGTGCTGAGGGAATAGCGGGGCAACGACGGGCCCCAAAGTCATCGTTGCGAGAATTCGAGTGTCAATGGTCGATCGTCCTCACTATCGCATGACACCAGGCTCGAACATTACCCAGATCGCATGTGCATGATCCGAGGGCTCTTTCAAATATTAGGGTTGTGCACGCCTAGTTTACAAGCACAAATGACGGTCGAAACCCGCCTACGCGTATCATGGTCGACTCTCGTTCGGGCACGTATCAAAGTCGAGTACCCCCTCGGCACATACCAGGTTCGAATATCGCTTACCCACGTATCAGGCTCGAATATCACCATCCCCGAGCCAGGTTCAAATATCGCGCATCCATGCGCTAGGTTCGAGTTACGCCTACCCACGTACAAGGTTCCTGTATCGCCTACCTACGTAACAGGTTCGAGTAGCGCATAAGCACGCACCTGGTTCTGGACCAGATGAAACGGGAGCTCCAAACCCTCCACCGCCTCCCATCCTGCCCATCTCCGGGAAGCCATTGTTTATGGACATCTGACCACCCCCACCCGGACCCATGCTCGCCAGCCCGCCTGAAATCCCCCACGATCGACTCTCTTGTCCGCCTGCCAACGGCGAATCGAAAAACCGAGATAAAACAAAGAGGGAGACGCCAGGACCGCCGATCGCATGCAATCGACGGTGGTTAAGCATGGGAAGCAGCACGGGGGTAGGAAACGTGTGTTAGAAATAGTAAGCAGATGAGATAGCAAGCAAATGAGGTTTGATGATATACCCGGAGCTTCTCGATCTCCTGCGCCTTCTTCTTCATGAGGTCCTTGGTCTCGTTGATCTTGCTCAGCATGTCCGCCTTGTACTGCTTCTCCGCCGTGCTCTCCATCTCCGTGTACTGCTTCACCTGCGCTATAGTCACGTTCTCCTTGTGGCCCAGCGAAATGACCTCGTCGAACGCGAATATGAGCTCAAAGGCCATGTGACACACGGATTCCTCGTCCAATCCTGGACAGTATTCAGGTACCTGGGATGTCACGGAGATATGTGTAAGGGGACATTTATTTGGTGTTACACAGCCAGGAGACAGAAACTCATGAATCAGATCAGGTCACGACGCCGGGAACTCGGAATTTTAGATTGATACAGCATGAAGCAGGGAGCTTTGATGACTAGGGATCGACTTACGAGCTTCGATAGTAGGCGAAGAGTCTCGAGATCTTCTAAGATGTTGCTTTGCTTGTTCGTGACCAGCAGTAAATAGAGACCTTCGAGTGATTGATACACATATCGCACATTCTCGGTCTCGACGAACGTGTGCTGCTTCCCGCTTCCAATGAGTTTAGGGAAAGCTGCAAGCAACCCTTCGATGCGAATCCGAGCCATGTCTACGAATTGTCGAGCCACCAATGCTGCAGCAACCAACAAAATCCCACGCGAATGAGAATATGACGCTGGCTAAGAATAATCTAAAAAGTAAGGTTAGCTAAGTGATTAAGTTCTAGACTATTTGAGCAAGACAGGTGAATTTATGATAACATGCCTTTTCCCGTCTTGCTGATGATCGCAGCTGATAGGACCACCTGCACGAGAGAAACTAAGTCGTCAGTCTAAAGCGAGTGGAACAAGACACTACATGAACGCGTTACATACTGCGAATCTAACGCACCATCTTGCCAAGACCAGAGATGTGAGCTCAGACGTTGAGAATCAGGATCCAAACCCTTCCTATCCAAATCACAACCTAGCGAATCGGAAACCGGTAAAAAAACTGAATGGCGATGTGCCCTAATTAGTAACACGGAAATCGAAGACAAATCTACGCATTCCGCGATGCTAACACAGGCATTGCTAGATCAAGGAGGATCCTTAGTCGTGCAGCCGATCCTGCCGAATCAGTGAGCAGAACGACTAAAACAGCCACCGTATTCAGAGGTGAGAGATGGCAGAAGCAGCAGCACCAGTTGACCAAACACGCAGATCTGCGATGCTCCTTGGACATTCCCTCCAGTAAGGAAGCAGGCAAACCAGCAGGAAGCGGGAAGGCTGGCAGTTGCATTGTCCCTCACAAGAATCTGGTGTGGCGGATGAAATCGAGGCTCGCGATGCACCGATTGGGTGGTAACACGAATTCGTTGAGACCTGAGAGACTGAAATTACTAATTTTCACCTAGAAATTTTGTTAAAAAACAGGTAAGAGTACTCATTTGCATGCTCTTCATAACACAAGGTTTCACATTGACTACAATTTCATGCAGCACAGTAGACATAAAAGCAAATAAACTTCTCATTGCCCATATGCATGTTCATCCTACACTGGCACAAACTAGTATACCGTACTACATACGATTCCCACCCCTTCCCATCTTGCCTTTGCCCCCTCTACCTCCCCCTCTCCCACTCGAACTCGACCTTCCTCCACCCCTTCCCTTCCCTCCACCCCTCCCTCCACTCCCTCCCCTCCCTCTGCTCCCTCCCCTTCCTCCCCTCCCTCCACTCCCACCCCTTCCTCCAACCCCTCCTCTTCCTCCACCCCCTCCTCTCCCTCCACCTCCCCCTCTCCCTCCACCCCCTCCTCTCCCCCCGCCTCCTCTGGCAATGGCTGTTTGGCGCATCTTCCTAACCTCATCCACGCTGCGCAGCTCATCCCTCACTCGCCCACCCGCCCCTCCTCTGCCCGACATGCCTGCAGCACGGTGCGGTGGAGTGACAGGGGGTGATTGGGATTGACAGGGGGTGACAGGGGGTGACAGGGTAAGGAGGGATCCTTGGTTTCAAACATCAATGGGTGACAAGGGGTGAGAAGGGACGACAGGGTTGAGAACGTCTGTGTCTCAAACCCCACCACTCACCCCCATCCACCCATCCCCTCATTAACTCCCACCCATCGCACAATCAACTCCCACCGATGCCACTCACCTCTTCGGCTTCCTCTCCCCCCTCTTCCTCCACCCCTCCCCCTCGAGAATCCGCCAGCACCGTCAGCATCCTCGCCCGCGTCCAATCCAGCGCTGCCACGTGGCCCTCTGCCGCCCACGCGCATGTGCGTCTTCTCCTTCCACCGCTTGTAAATGCCCTTGCTGCCAGCACTCGTCTTGGTGCCGCTCTCCGTGCGCACCTGCCAAGGGCATCAGGGGCATCAGGGAAATGGAAGGAGCAATTTTTCAGTCACAAAATACGGTGTTCTGGGGAACCCACTCGCATGTGCGTCCTCTCCTCTCCTCTCCTTCCACCGCTTGTAAATGCCCTTGCTGCCCGCACTCGTGTTGGCGCCACTCTCCGTGCGCACCTGCCAGAAGCATCAGGGAAGTGGACTCATGGGGATCAAATGGACTTGAGCTTCTGAAAGCAAGAACTCATGGAGACGAGAGCAGAGAGCCGGTCGATCCTGCTTTGAAGAGCGAGTAACACTCGCACCACAAGGAAGAAGAGTGCAGAAGGCAATGGCAATTAGTCTGCAGTCACCCCTTGCCACACCAGCTCACCTTGCCTCACCTAGTATGGACTCACCTTGCCTCACCAAGTATGGACTCACCCTTGCCACACCAAGTATGGACTCACCTTGCCTCACCAAGTATGGACTCACCCTTGCCACACCAGCTCACCTTGCCTCACCTACTATGGACTCACTCACCTTGCCCGATGGACCCAGGGTCTCCCCGGGGTTCAGCTTGATGTACTTCTTGCTCTTCTGCTCACATGCGAGCGGTGGGAAGGGGTGGAGGGGGGTGGGAGGCGTGGAAAGGGGCATTGTTGAAGGTGATTGTGCTTTTTCTAAATGAGTTCTTGCTTTGTTACTCCAATGCAAGGGGTAAGGACAGAATGTCGCATGAGGGTAGGCATGGTGGGGAAAGGAGGGGAGGGGTGGGTAGGGGAAGGAGGTTCAAGGGAGTATTGAGAGGCATTTAGGTAAATGGTGCACTGAGGTTTCTCGCCTGCTCACACACACAGTTGTGCTAGTGGTGGGGGAGGGAAGCGGGATGCTCGAATAAGTTTGTGAGGTGCATCATTGGTCAGTGGCCAGTGGTACACAGAAGCTTACAGAAATGCACACTGCATATAAAAAAAGAGCGCTGTACAATGCGCAAAGCTTCACTCTACCTATCAGGGAAAGGCAGATATTTCAAGTATTACAAAATCTTGTGAGTTATCCGTACTGTACGATAGAGAAAAAAAAGAAAAAAACAAACAAACAAACGAACAACTAATTCCACCGACAGGACAAGCCACTACGCAATATGAGATAAGCTGCATCATTCTTATTCTGAGTACAATATGTAAAATCTGTACGAAACACTGTACCTTATCCCAGTGAAACACTGATTTCCTCTTTTGGGCCCCTTCGCCATCATCAGGAGCCAGATCCAGCACCTCTGCCTCAAACCTGCAGGGGAGGACGGAGTATGGGGAGGTGGGGGAAGGGGGAGGGGGGAGGAGGAGTTGAACGGAAAGAGAGGGGGGGCTTTAGCGGCGACTCAAAGGCCTGCACTGTCATCAGGAGCCAGATCCAGCACCTCTGCCTCGAAGCTGCAGGGGAGAGGGGAGTGGGGAGGAAGAGGAAGAGAAATTGTGGTTGCTAACTATCAGGAGGAGGGCGAAGAAAGAGGGGGGGAGGGGGGGAAAGGGAGCATTGAGTGAAAGGGATCATTGTTGTATATAAAACACATGGCAGGGACATGAGAGAGGGTGGCAGGGACATGAGAGAGGGTGGCAGGGACATGAGAGAGGGTGGCAGGGACATGAGAGAGGGTGGCAGGGACATGAGAGAGGGTGGCAGGGACATGAGAGAGGGTGGCAGGGACATGAGAGGCAACGGCAGGCAGAGGTATGAGAGGGGACAGCAGGGGAATAGTAAGAAGTATGTCCACAGAACTTGCAAAGAGAAACCGCCGTCTCAAACCGTCTCCGCTAAATGAGATGAGGTGAGGTGAGGTGAGGTGAGGTGAGGTGAGGTGGGACATACTTTTGCACTTCAGCTGAGAACTCGTTCTTGGGCCGCCCGTTGACTGAAAGACCGCTCTCCCAATGCTGGACGGTGGGAATGCAGAATAAAAAAGGAAAGGTTTGGGTGTGTGGGTCAGAAAGGTTTGGGTGTGTGGGTCAGAAAGGTTTGGGTGTGTGGTTCAGAAAGGTTTGGGTGTGTGGGTCAGAAAGGTTTGGGTGTGTGGGTCAGAAAGGTTTGGGTGTGTGGGTCAGAAAGGTTTGGGTGTGTGGGTCAGAAAGGTTTGGGTGTGTGGGTCAGAAAGGTTTGGGTGTGTGGGTCAGAAAGGTTTGGGTGTGTGGGTCAGAAAGGTTTGGGTGTGTGGGTCAGAAAGGTTTGGGTGTGTGGGTCAGAAAGGTTTGGGTGTGTGGGTCAGAAAGGTTTGGGTGTGTGGGTCAGAAAGGTTTGGGTGTGTGGGTTGGATGGGTTGTTCTAGGTGGGTGGGTGCATGTATGGCATGGCATGCTGTGATGCATCCTGATGCTGTCAATCAAGACCAATGCATTTTAAAGCTCAAGGCCCAAATTGATCAACCTTAGTAAGGTTGACCTTCGGGCGGCGGGAGAGGAAGGAAGGTTGACTTTGTTGGAAGTTGGGTTGTTTAGTTTCGCCCGGCTTCGCGCTACACCCTCCCTCAGGGTTTTGCAGCAAAACCCAAGAATCTTGTGAGTGCAATTTGCTGACTAAGCAAACCCCAGGGAGCATGCAGGTTTGGTTCTCGAGTCCCAAATTGCACTCACAATATTCTTGGTGTTTCCTGCTCTCCGATTCGACCAGAAAACTGTGGCCAATCAGATTGCATCGCACTTATCGTAACCACAATTCGCAACCAACACAACACTCAAACAGCACTCCGATCAACATTAGTAAGCTTGCCCCGCACGCTTTGCAATTTGGGCCTAGAGCTTAAATGCATGGCATGGCATGGCATGGCATGCTGTGTGTTTTGCCATGCTGTGTGGCATGGCATGGCATTGCGGTGTTGTTGGGACCATGGCATAGTGTGGGAAGGCATGCTGTCGTTGTGAACTACCCATTCACTCATTCAATGTCTGTGCAATTTAGCAGCTTACCCTGTTGGGAGGGATATTGTTGATAAAGAACTGGTCATCCTTGAAGGTGGTTGGCTTCTCCCTCTTCGTCCCCCTCACCTGCCCGCCTCCCCCTCCCCCCTCCCCCTCCTTCCTCTTCCTCTTCCCAACACCCGCCTCCCCCTCTCCGTCACTATCATCACCCATCTCCACCAAATCATCATCCTTCCCTCCCTCTTCCTCTTCATCCTCTCCCTCCAAAACACCATCAAATTCATCCGCTTCCCCTTCCTCGTCCTCCTCGTCCTCCTCTCCCTCCTCTCCCTCCTCTCCCTCCACTCCCTCATCTCCCTCCTCTCCCTCCTCCGCCTCCTCTCCGTCCCCATCCTCCACCTCTCCCCCCACCTCCTCATCCTCATCCCCATCGTCCCCCAGACCATGGCCCCACACCTCACGGCCCTCCGCCACCAGCTTGTCTCGCCGCTTGCTGATGGCTGTCTGGTGCGCCTCCCTCTTGGCCCGCATCACATCCAACCCCGCTGCTATGGGGCCCTGAGTTGAGAAAGGCAGGGAGGGGCAAGAGGAGGGACACGGAGAGAAGCAAGGGAGGGGAAGTAAGGGGGAAGGGTAAGGGGAAGAGAAGAGCGGGGAAGGATTTGTTTTGGTTGTGTGATGCACTCTCTCTTGGCTCGCATGACATCCAGCCCTGCGAAAATGGGCTCCTGGGGCGAGGGAGGGAGATGGTAGGGAAGATGGGAAACGCATATGGGGAAGATGGGAAACGCATATGGGGAAGATGGGAAACGCATATGGGGAAGATGGGAAACGCATATGGGGAAGATGGGAAACGCATATGGGGAAGATGGGAAACGCATATGGGGAAGATGGGAAACGCATATGGGGAAGATGGGAAACGCATATGGGGAAGATGGGAAACGCATATGGGGAAGATGGGAAACGCATATGGGGAAGATGGGAAACGCATATGGGGAAGATGGGAAACGCATATGGGGAAGATGGGAAACGCATATGGGGAAGATGGGAAACGCATATGGGGAAGATGGGAAACGCATATGGGGAAGATGGGAAACGCATATGGGGAAGATGGGAAACGCATATGGGGAAGATGGGAAACGCATATGGGGAAGATGGGAAACGCATATGGGGAAGATGGGAAACGCATATGGGGAAGATGGGAAACGCATATGGGGAAGATGGGAAACGCATATGGGGAGGAAAAAGGGCCCTGGAGGAAGGCCGATGCGCCCAGTAAACACAGGCGGATAAGGACAAGGAAAGGGGGAAAGAGGATAAGGAAAAAGACGAATTGGAAAGGTCTCTTTCCTCTTTCCTCTCGTCTCTCCCCTCCTCTCTCCCTCTCCACTTCTCCCTCCTCTCCACTCTCCTCTGCCCTCTCTTTCCCTCTCCTCTCCTCTCATATCTCCTCTCTGCTATCCTAGATCCGTTCACATCTCTTCCCACCGCAACGCACCACTTTCTTCTTCGCCGTGGCAGCTTCTGCCTCGAGCTCCAGCACTGTCTGCTTCGGCCTGCGTTCATGCACAAGCATACGCACGTGCACATGTGCACACACACACACACACAAAACACATGCACACACACACACACAAAACACATGCACAAACACAACACACACACACACACACACACACACACAAAACACATGCACACACACACACACACACACACACACACACACACACACACACACACCGAGCATGCAGGTACATCGCACACAGGCAGGCACACAGGCATCCAACCGTTGTGAGTGGAGCAGGACAGAAGGAAGATTAAAGGAAGGCAAGGAAGCAGTGAACATGATAACGATCCAACCAGGCCCTGAGATCCTCAACCCTTCAATTCCTCCCTCTCTCCCGTTCCCATAATCATCCCTCTTTCTACCCAACCGTTTCCCCTGTTCCCTTCAGCCACCACACCCCACCGCCCCCCACATCGCACCCACTGTCCATCACCGCTCCCCACCGCCGCTCTCACCTGAACTTTTTAAGGTGCTCGGCAACAGCAGCAGCAGCGGACTCCAGCCCGCCCACGCGATCCCTCAGCAGCAGGTGCACGCCCTCTCTCCCTGCCAGCGCCTTCCCCCCACTGCCCCTCAATGTCCCAACACCCAAAACCAGCCCCTACTGCCCCCCTCACCTGAACTTCTTAAGGTGTTCCGCGAAAGCAGCAGCAGCCGACTCCAGCCCGCCCACGCGCTCCCTCAGCAGCAGGTGCACGCCCTCCCTGCCCGCCAGCGCCTTGCTCCTCTTCGCACTCTCATTCGACGCAGCCGGCCGTGTTCTCAGATACAGCTTCATGGCCTTCCCAGCCACCTTCTGCAGCATCCCCACAGCCACACTTGAACTCTCCAGCTCCCTCAGCCGCTCCAAATAACGGTCCAGCTCGGTTTGAATGTATCTTCCGTAGACTGTTTCCCCCCGCTCCTGCGCTTCCCTCGCGGCCAATAGGCTCGCGCCACCTGTCGCCTCGATCTCGGAATCTAGTGGCGCCGGGCGGATGGGCTTGGAGAGGAAAAGGTGCAGGTCGAGGACAAAGGGCAGCTCTTCTGCAGTGAAAAAAGAATATGCGGTGCCCGAACGGCCCGCGCGCGCCGCTCGGCCTGCCCGATGCACGAAAAGTTTCGGCTTGGGCGGGAAGTCGAAGTTTATGACGTTGTCGAGGAGAGGGATGTCAATACCTCGAGCAGCAACGTCGGTCACGATGAGGAGAGATGTTCTGCCTGCCCGGAACTTGGCAATGTGGATTTTTCGGGCAGTTTGGTCCATGGCACCGTAAACTACTGAAGATGGTAACCGCTCGGATTGTAACACTTCGTGTAACAGCTCAGCATGATGCTTCGTTGCCACGAATATAATCGTCTGCTTTCCATTGCCCCTCCCAGCAAACCCCCTCCTTCTCCCTTCCCTTTCTCTTGCTTCATCCTCCCTTTCTTCTCCTAATTCTTCCTCATCCTCCCCCTCTTCCCTTATTTCCCTTCCTCCCCCACCTGCTGCCGCTGTCCCCACCTGAATAACCTCCTGAAGCAAATGCAGCAGGGCGGCCATTTTTTCATGCGGTCTGACCGTGAAAAAGCAAAGCGCCAGGTCTGGGCTCAGCTTCGTCTCCGTGTCCAATCGGATCAGCTGCGGCTCCCTCAAACCTGCCCGGGCGAACTCTGCGAGCATCTTGGGCAGCGTGGCCGAAAAAAGCAGCGTCTGGCGCGACTCGGGCATCCCGCGCAAAATTTCCTTCAGCTGGACGGCAAACCCCATCTCGAAAAGCCGGTCAGCCTCATCAAAAACAACGTACTCCACGGATTTCAGGCTCATGCCCTCCACCTCCGCAAGATGATGCATGAGCCTGCCAGGTGTCGCGACGAGAATGTCTGGATTGCGTGAGAGCGCCTCGAACTGCCCCTCCATGCTGTCTCCTCCCACCAGCACGGCCGCTCGCAGGTCGGTGAATTTCCCCAGCTCCTTGGTGAACTTGAACGTCTGTAAGGCCAGCTCTCTGGATGGGTGGTTTGGGAAGGTGGAGAAACAACAGGGGGGGACAAGCAGGGTTGAACACTCCGTACTCTCTGCTCGGCGCCTCTCCCTCGCAGGTCGGTGAGTTTGCCCAGCTCCTTGGTGAACTTGAACGTCTGTAGGGCCAGCTCTCTGCAGAGGGTGGTTGCAGGAAGTGATGCGAGAGCAGGGGGCACAAGCCAGAATAAGAACGTGGGGGGGGGGATGCGGGCTGCCACGGTCCCATCCCATCATCCCAGACCCTCCCTCCGAAGGATGTTTCCCCCCCACCAGCACGGCTGCTCGGAGGTCGGTGAATCTGCCCAACTCCTTGGTGAATTTGAACGTCTGTAGGGCCAGCTCCCTGGGTGAAAGGGTGGGTGGGTGGGTGTGTGGGTGGGTGGGACACATGGAGGCAAGCAGGCGATGAGCAGGAAGAGAAAGCAGTCAACCATACTGCTACCTGGTATCAGAACCACCCAACCCAACTCCTCGGTGAACCTGAACGCCTGTAGGTCCAGCTCTCGGGGTGGTGCGTGGGTGGGTGGGGCACGTGAGGAGGCAGGGAGGGAGGGATGAGCAGGAAAGAATGAGCGCCCAAGGCATGAAAAGAAGGCGTTCCCCCGCATTGCCTGCTCCTCAAAATGCCGTCTAGTCTCCTCCTACAGGCCATGCCGTGCCGTCCGGAAATGTGAGTCTGTCGATCACCCTGGTGACCGTGACCGCCTGCTCTCTGGGTGGGTGGTGGCGGAAATAAAGAAATCGGGGGGCTAAACCAGCAAGGCAAATTTAGCAGGGAAAAGGAAGGAACAAGACTAGCCTTCTAGTTTCGTTGGTGGCCGTTTTTCTAAGCCAGAACATCACTTCCACACGCGGGTTAAAAAAAAAAAAACACCAAAAAAAACAAAACAAAAAAAAAAACTCAGAAAAAACTGGTGGTAGTTGAACCCTGAACCCTTCAACACTACACCCGTCAACCCCTGAACCCTAGCCTCTGTTACTTGCTAATCCATGGAACATTCAGCTCAGTACGAGCTGAGAGCGGCACGAAAGGCTAAACCCGGGTCCCTTTGGTCTATACGTCGCTAGCACCTCAACCCTTCATGCAGTGAGAGGGTTGAGGCAACATGGTTAGCATCTCCACAGACTAGGCAGCGGCGGTAATACATTCTCTTAACTCCCCATTAAACTCAATGCGCATCCGCGCATTGAACCCCCTTGCGAAACGGTTCGAAAGACATCATAACGGTTCCACCAACGCCAATTCGCTCCCCACTCCCACTCCCTCCTTCACCACCGTCACACCTCGTAGGAGAGAGAATCACAGCGCGAATCCCGCCCGTGTTCGAGTGCGCTTTGAGCCGCTCAATCATGGGAATGAGAAACGCCGCCGTTTTGCCGGACCCGGTGCGCGCCATGGCGACCACGTCCTGCCCCGCCAGCACCATCGGCAGCGTTCGCCGCTGGATTGGCGTCGGCACCTGGTAGCCCTTGCGCCGCACCGCGCGATACACAGCGGCACTCAGGCCCATGCTCTCGAATCCAAACGATTTCCCTTTCTTCTTCTTCGCGCCTTGCCCCGACACAGGAGCGAAGGCCATTCCGACGTCTTCTGACGGAAACATGCTTTCCGTTTCGCCCCCGTCCATCTGTTCTTAGAGCTCCAAGAAACAACCCGTCGACCTGGAAATGGTAATGGAAAGCAAATGGCGCTGAGAAGTGGTTTCAACCTGGTCGAGGGAAGAGGTTTGAGACGGTTTGGGTTTTGCAGTGTTGCACAAGTGCAGGAGAGTGTGCTTGTTCCCTCTCTACCTTCTTCCCACTTCCCTTCGTTTATGCTAGTCCAAGGTCTGACTTAGCATGCAGAAAATAATAATTGTACTAAGTCGAAATGAAAGTCTCCTATAATATACGAATAAATACCATAGCAAGATTGATTGGTGTACCTAACCTTTAGTTTGTTTATCTAATCACTAAGCCTCTCGGCGAGTTGTAGCTGAAAGCATTGTTCCTCCCCAACGAGTCACATGCTAGCGAATCTGAGATTTCCCAAACCCACTTCCTGCTATCATCCCTCCCTCATTTTCCCTCTTGATCGTCCCACTCCCAGTCCTAGCGGTCCCAGCAGCAGCAGTTTTAGGATTGAACGCCCGCCAGATGCGGAGAGATTCATCAGCCGAGAGGGAAGCTATGATGTCACCCTCAGGAGCCTGCCATGGAATGTAAACGAGGCACATTAGCGCATGACCTGGAAAAATGCGTGAGTGCTTAGCTGTCGCTTACCTGCGCAGTTGACACCACACGCTCTTCATGCCCTTTAAGTCGGGCCAGCGGTACGAGAGAGGGGTACTTCCAAACGATCAGCTGGTTCTTGTTCGCTCCATGATACCCATGCGCGCTTACGATTTCACGATCCTTCTTGCTCCAGTGCAAGCCCGTGACCTGGAAAAACACAACGAAGGATTAGTGACTGAATTTATTCTCGAAAGTCAGAAAAACAAACGGGCCAGAGATTGATCCCAGTGTAAATTGCCATGTCAACCGTGCAATCGTTTACCTGCGACTCCGCGTCGACATGTTTCTCGCACCCGCCGGTCTGCGTGTTCCAAAACCGGATGGTGCAGTCGTTCGCACCGCCTCCCGTCGCGAGCAGGTGCGTTCGGAAAGGACACCACGCAAGAGCCTTAACCGCTCCGCGGTGATCCGCGAATCGATGAAGCAAAGGCACATGGGATCCCGTGGCACTAGTAGCAGCAGAGCTTGGGTTCGTCCTCCGACGACCTTCTCCATCGCGGCGGCCAGCAGCGTCTGGTGCGATGGAAGACGACATGAGAGCTGTGTCCCAGATGTGCACGAGGTTGTCGTCTCCCCCGCTGGCGAGCTGGCGTCCAGACGGAGCCCACTTCAGCCCGCATACCCCCTCGGGATGGGCCATGAGACGCGAGACGATGTGCTCCCGGGCGCGAACTATTTAAGAAAGATAGGACGAATGTTAAGCTGGAACGTACGCTTCAAAAGAGCTGCTATTCACAAAGGTGGGTATTTTCTATCCGATTTGAGTGGACGTGCTGGTTGTGTGTTGCACAGGAAGACATGGCTTACCATCATGGTTGATGATTGTTCCAGCATTATCGCCGGTTGATAAGAGTGTCTTGTACCAGTCCAATGCACAAATAGGTCCCGAATGTCCCTTGAAGGTGCGGACCTGCAGTTTATGGCCAAGCAGCATTCAGTCAGGATTCTCAAGAACGTGTACCTCAACAGATTAACTGACTCGGGAGCGTTTGTAGCAGATACTGGCCTGTTTAGGGATGGAGACGTTCCAGACTTGGACTTCGGAATTGCTGACCCCTATCGCCAAGTGTACGCCATCAGGAGCCCAAGAGACTCCAGTCACATAGGGAGACTCTTCATCCTCCGTTTCAACAGTCATGAGCTCCATAGATTCATTCTTGCCGTTCCAAATAAACACTGAGGTTCCGATCGCTACAGCAACCAAGTTAGAGATGCTCCAATCTATCAATTGGAGGTAGAAGTTGTTCACCACTCCAGGCGCGTCCAGCGTCTTCTCTGCCACCTGAGAAAAAAAAAGTTTTAGAGTCAGGAATGCCTCACATAATATATCGTCGTTCTGCATGTCATCAGAATAGTCACCTGAGGTATCACACGAGGAGGGGGCTGACATCCTGAAACGTCACTGCCTCTGGCCATTTTGGTGGAGCTGTCAATACCATTGTTTGACTCAGCAGGTGTCTTCACTTTGAATGATAGTACTCTTGGCTTCCTTGCCGAGTTTCCTTCTCCGTCGTCTAAACATCTCGACATCAGGCCTTCAAGTCGCTTTCGATAATTCTCCTGGTTATGAGAACACACATTGGAAAGTTGTTAGTTAATAAAAGTCAAGCGTGTCATCAATCATAACGGAATCACTTACAGAGCCTGGGGAAATGAGCTTCGTAGACTCTCTCTTGTCGAAACCACCACGAATTGCGAACGCTGAGACGTCCATATTCATGTAGCTGCGGCTTGGAATGAAACGGTCGCCCTGCAGCCAAACATTGGATTCAATCAATTGTATGGACCTTTGGAAGGAATACAAGAAACGTGATTCCAAACCCATACCTCTGTCGACTTTGGGGTCGCGAATGGTGTTTTGGGCGTAATCCCAACCTTCTTATATGCTTTCTTCAGCGAAGGTACTGGCGTTGCTGTATGTTTTGCCTTGAGGTGGCTGCATCCCGCATTGACCAAGGATCCCGGCGCTTTCTGACCATATTTGCTGCTGGGTCCCGATCTGCATGACGAAGCTGGACCTCCTGTCTTTCCTGAGGTCTTAAACTTGCTCTTCAATAGAAATGGACTCCTTGTTGGCGTATCCATAATCGTGCTCATCGCTACGGCTAAGTCCATTTCAGTACGGCAGAGAAGCTAACCGAGGGCGCGTGAGCGTTGCTTGTACAAGCAAGCTTCTTGACAGCCTGTGAGAATTTGCTGTCCACTGATACTACCAACTGGAACGACGTTCGAGTGTGACTGATGCTTGTAGAGACCAGTTTCATCGTTGGAGTCAACCGAGCAGCTTCGGCCTCCTCAGCCAGGCTAGGAAGCCACTCACTGGTTCTCTGGGATTGCATGGTGTCCAGGCGCTGACAATGGCGGCGGAAAGGTATCCTCCCGCGTTCACGAGGAGTTGCTCTGAAAATGCATTTCCTGAAGTAAGCGCGGCGGACTTCGTGTGGTCAGAGCATACGCGATATTAGGTGATTCGATCGTTAGCTGATAGAGGTATTTGTAGAATCATCCCTGATTTCGCAGTCAGTGTTTGTTGTCAGGTTTTGGTTTCCGGTTCAGTTGCTTGAGTTCAAACGCGGTGTTGTCCATCATCCAACGAGCTTTGAGGATTTGTGACCACAATCTGCCCGGCTTGGTCAGGGCAGATAAACCAAACCAACAAAGTGACGGCAAGTGACGGCCGGTGTCATAATGCGCAATCGACCAGCCGTGCTGAGGTAAGCAGCAACTCAAATCGTCAGACCGTTGGGAAAAGCTGACGAGCGCCGCCTACATCCATTCGAGCAAGGGTGAGCCTCCATACAAGTTGTACATCAAGTAAACGAAAAATGTACTGTACCGTACAACCGGACACGCCCTTAGTTCCAGAAAGATACCTCGGTATTCTCCTTACTGCACCAACAACCAATCACAAGCAGCAGCGGCTTCCCGCCTCCACTCCTGTGCATCTATCTCCCAAGCCCAAGGGGAGAACCACCTCCCTCCACATCCTTCAGGATCATGTCCTGGCCTGAATCCTGATCGTGGAATTCATCTCCTGTGAGTCGCGTTTCCATCAGAGCATCAATTTCATCAGATTGTTGATTACAAGAGCATTCAGCCGCTCCTAATTTGGTTTGCTCTGTGACCTTCACGACAGAAGCACCCAACTGACGGGAGTTGCGTCGGACGTTAGGGGAAGCAGCCTCTGCGCAACTTGCGATTGTTTATTACTGTTTTCTCATATCGTTACTGTCACTCTGAATCCATGGCGGAGGAGAAGGCTGGAAGCGGTTTCTATGCAGACATTGTCGACGGAGATGTGTATAAGTACTTCTCGCATGGCGAATGGAGAACGACAGCTTCAGGCCGAACAGTCAACATTATAAATCCTTGTACCCGTACTGTAGTGTACAGAGTTCAAGGTGAGCTGCTACTGATGCAACGGATCGCGCCACTAGTTTCACTGATTGATTTCGGACCAGCAATGCCGTTTCGCATCGTCTCGGTGGATAGCGATTATCTACGCGTTAAGTTCCTAACACCATCCCAATTCTCGCTTTCTTCACGCAGGGTGCATGCAAGAGGAGGTTGACGGCGTGTTCGAGAGCGCCAAGGTCGCGCAGAAGAAATGGGCCAAGACGCCGCTGTGGAAGCGCGCCGAGCTGCTGCACAAGGCCGCTCACATCCTTCGCGAACACAAGGACCCCATCGCCGACTGCCTCGTTAAAGAAGTCGCCAAGGCCAGAAAGGATTCCATTACCGAGGTGAGGCTTAGACACCGCAACCGAGATGACGCATGGATACACGCCGTTACGGGGTGAAGGCTCACTGAGTAAGGTCTCCGTCACCGAGCAAGACTGAGCAACACTCCAACTTCATCAGCAACTTAATGAGACGTTTAGATACAGTCCCGTTAGTAAGTTGAAAGCTCACATTACTGGCGAGTGCATTGATTCTATCCCCGTTTACCCCATGAACGAGTTCACCACGGCGACAAGGGAACTCCGTCACGCAAGACAATGCAAGGATTCGTATAGAGCTTTGTTACGTAGGTGACGGCTCACATAGTTCGAAAATGGATGGATTTCCTCTGCATCGACCTGCTGATCATACCAGAACACTTTGAACCTGTTCCCTACTTCATCCCCACCCTACTGTTAGCGTCCGTTGTTTTCGACTCACGGGCTAGAGCTTGCGAGCTATTGGTTGGGGCAAGCACCAAGGACTTGGAAAACCCTTCGCTAATCAACGTCATTCAAACCACCGTCATCCATATCAACGTCCTTCTAATCAACAAGCAACGCCGTTCCAACCCCAGGTGCTGCGATCAGCGGACTTCATATCGTACTGTGCGGAGGAGGGCGTGCGGCTGCTGGCTGAGGGCAAGTTCCTCACGGGCGACAGCTTCCCTGGCAACGACCGCACCAAGCTCTGCATGGCCTCCAAGGTGTGTGGGCGCATACGTGGGGTCCAAGGTGGGTGCAAAGCAGCCAAGGCGGTGGGTGGGTGCATGCGTGGCAGCCAATCTGAAATCATCTGAATCTATGTCACCTGCCACGTACTATGGGCGTGGTCCTGTGCATCCGCCCTTCCCCCTCGCGACAGGGTTTACTTAACATCACCTGCATGCATTCTCGTGTGCCAGGTGCCGCTGGGAGTGGTGCTGTGCATCCCGCCCTTCAACTACCCTGTCAACCTCGCTGTCTCCAAGATCGCTCCTGCCCTCATTGCAGGCAACGCCGTCGTGCTCAAGCCTCCCACTCAGGTACTCACAGTTAAAGCCTCCCACTCAGGTACTCACAGTTAAAGCCTCCCACTCAGGAACTCACAGTTAAAGCCTCCCACTCAGGTACTCACAGTTAAAGCCTCCCACTCAGGTACTCACAGTTAAAGCCTCCCACTCAGGTACTCACAGTTAAAGCCTCCCACTCAGGTACTCACAGTTAAAGCCTCCCACTCAGGTACTCACAGTTAGACTCCCACTCAGGTACTCACAGTTGAAGCCTCCCACTCAGGTACTTGCAGATTTTGAGACGTCTTAAAAGTCGCATTTTGGGACATCTCAAAAGTCGCAGGCAATGCCTTTGTGCTCAAGCCTCCCATTCAGGTACCTTCGTTTGAAGCATTCCCATAGTGCTGAGTATACATCCCTGAGCTTGTGCCGTGACCCATCCTCCATGCACAAGCGGCTATGAATGCCCATCAAACTCAAACCACAGCGCACTGTGGGAGGGCTACACATTTTGCGGTACTTTCATCCCTTATTCCCCCATTCCTCACCGCCCCATGCACTTACCTTGCCCCTGGTTGCCCCTCCAACTCCACCCATAGGGCGCGGTGGCAGGGCTGCACATGGTGCGGTGCTTCCAGGAGGCGGGGTTCCCCAAGGGGCTCATCAGCGCCGTCACTGGCAAGGGGTCTGACATTGGGGACTTCCTCACCATGCACCCCGCTGTTGACTGCATCACGTGAGTCAGTGAGAATGGGGGAGATGATGGCTTGACACGTGACAAGGGAACTGGAGGGGTGGTGGCTTGTTTTTCAACTGTATCCATGCGAAAGGGAGAGAGGCGAGAGATGAAATTTGCGGATATGTGCTTGGCCGCTATCGTCCCCCCAACCCCCTCTTCGTAACAGCTTCACCGGCAGGGACACCTTCTGTCGCAGCGCGGGCATGGTGCCGGTGCAGATGCAGCTGACTCGCCCCTGACCTTACCCGCTATCTTCCAACCCGCTCTCCTGCCCACTCTCTCTTCCCGCAGCTTCACAGGCGGCGGCACGGGAATATCCATCGGTCGCAAGGCGGGCATGGTGCCGGTGCAGATGGAGCTGACTCGCCCCTGACCTTACCTGCTCTCTTCCAACCCTCTCTCTCCCCGACTCTCTCTCCCGGACTCTCTCTCCCCGCAGCTTCACAGGCGGCGACACGGGAATATCCATCTGTCGCAAGGCGGGCATGGTGCCGGTGCAGATGGAGCTGGGCGGCAAGGATGCCTGCATTGTGCTGCCCGATGCTGACCTCGACCTCGCTGCTGCTAACATCGTCAAAGGCGGCTTCTCCTACAGGTGAGCCAATACCAGCCAAGGTCACCAGGTAACCCTATCACCAGGTAAGCTTTTCACCAGACAAGCATGTCAGTAGGTAAGCGCCGCACCTGATAAGACCTTCATCGAATAAGCGCACCACCGGGTAAGCCTTTCACCAGGTAATGGTTTCTCCGTTTCCGGTCAACCCTTGTGTGACTGGATCCACTCTGCTCCTTCTGCTGCCCACATCTCAGCCATAACCGTTCTTCTGCCTCCGCTCCCTTCCCATCCTCCCCTCCTCAACCAATCACATCGCGACACGTCAGCGGCCAGCGGTGCACAGCGGTGAAGGTGGTGCTGGTGATGGAGGACGTGGCAGACGCGCTGGTGGAGCGGGTGAATGCCAGGCTGGCGAAGCTGACGGTGGGGCGGCCGGAGGACGATGCTGACATCACCCCCGTGGTCAGCGAGTCCAGTGCCAACTTCATAGAGGGGCTCGTGCTGGATGCCAAGGATAAGGGCGCGCTCTTCTGCCAGGTGGGTGTGTGAAGGCTTTTGTGTGCAGTACTGTGCGGCTGTGGGTGTGTGCGTGTGGGTGGGTGGGTATGGTGTTGCATATCTGTGCCATGTGTGGCTGGTTGTGTGTGCCGGTGGTCAGCTAGTCCAGTGCCAACTTCATTGAGGGGCTCGTGTTGGATGCCAAGGACAAGGGCGCACTGTTTTCTCATGTGGGTGTGTGAGAGGGTGTGTGGGTGTGGCGTTGCGTGTCTGTTTAGTGTTGTGCAGCTATGGTCAGGAAGCCCAGCGCCAACTTCAGTGAGGTGCCCATGCGGTGCTGGTCTTTATTGTGCGTGTGCTGGTTTGTGAGTGGGAGTGTGCTGGTTTTGTGAGTGTGATTGTTGCACAATCATTGAGCAACCAACCTTGTCTCCCGCTCCCGCTCCCATCTCCCTCACTAGGAGAACAGCAAAAGAGTAACAACGTTTCGTCTCTACTCAAAGGCGATCTCCACCCTGGCAAACATGCGGCTGGCATGGGCGGAGTATCCCTCACATCACATCTGCTCCTCTCTCCTTTGCACGTCCCGCTCTTCCCTCCCTTTCCACGTCATCAGAAGTACAAGCACGAGGGCAACCGCATCTGGCAAACCACGTGCGGTCCGACATGCGGCTGGCGTGGAGAGAGTATCCACTCACACATGCCTGTCTCTCCTGCTCGCATTCCCCTCATCCCCTGTTCCTTTCCCCCAGGAGTACAAGCGTGAGGGCAACCTCATCTGGCCACTCCTTATCGACCACGTGCGGCCGGACATGCGGCTGGCATGGGAGGAGCCGTTTGGCCCCGTTGTGCCGGTGATCCGCATCACCACGGTGGAGGAGGGCGTGCATCATTGCAATGCCAGCACATTCGCCCTGCAGGTTCGTGTCTGTGCGTGTGTTGGCTTCACAGTGCAGGTATGTGTGTGCGGGAGTGGGTCTGTGAGCAATCAGTTATGAGTGGTGCCGGTGATCTGCATCACCACGGTGGAGGAGGGCGTGCACCACTGCAACGCCAGCACCTTCGCCCTGCAGGTTAGTCGTGTGTGTGAGAGTACATGTGTGTGTATAAGTGCATGTATGTGCATGAGTGCGTGTGTGTGCATGAGTGCGTGTGTGTGCATGAGTGCGTGTGTGTGCATGAGTGCATGTGTGTGCGCGAGTGAGAGAATGGAGGGCGCACACATGATGGAAGCACATAGTATTGAAGGGAAGGGCATGTGATGGAGGCATGCAGCAATACCCCCTTGGACCCACAGCACATGCTGTAATCTCTACTCTCTTCCCTCCCTCCACTCCTAAATGTACCTGCCTCTTCTCTCCTCCCCCCTCCCCATCGTATGAAAACTGTGTGTTGACGTGGGGCATTAGCAAGCTCATCACGACTAGCCTGCAGGGCGAAGGCGTCATGGAGACGGACCGTCAGCACACCGACCCACTCGCTTATGACGTGTGCCACCACGCCCCACTCTCTCCCCCTCCTCCATCCCCCCCTGATCCCTCCAGGGATGTGTGTTCACGAGGGACATCAACAAGGCCATCATGATTGCAGACGCCATGGAGACCGGCACAGTGCAGATCAACGCAGCGCCTGCCAGAGGGCCCGACCACTTCCCCTTCCAGGTCAGCCGCCTCTTGCTGCCGTTAGTGCATGTCATTGCTGGCTTATGCTAGCACGCTGGATTCGTGTGCGCGTTGATGCTCATGCGTGTGGCCCCTGTTATAGGGCTCGGTGACTTCCCTTTCCAGGTGACCCACCTCCTGCTGCCATGACTATTTGCATGCATGTGGCTTATGCTAGTTAGTAGCTTGCTTCATGTATGCGCTTGTAATGTCCCATGTGATTGTATGCACGCTGATTGTCCAAGTGCCTCCTTTTCTTTTCAGTGCGCTCACCATTGCTCGTTCATCTTCCCCACTTCACCTCCCCACTGCACCTCCCCTTCTGTTGACCCCTTTTCACACTGCATCCATCTGTCCCTCTTTCCTCCTGCCCTTCCCTTTCCTTCAGGGTTTCCGGGAGAGTGGCATAGGATCACAGGGTGTCACCAACAGCATTCTCATGATGACCAAAGTCAAATCAACGGTCATCAACCTCCCTGCTCCATCCTATGCGATGGCCTAGATTGGGAGTAAGATTATAATGATCAACCCCGTTGCAGCCTCGGACATCGCGGCCTACATGGGCGTAGTGCACCCCGGGTAGATATTCGTAGGTTGTACTTTCTGTCTAACCCTAAGCTGTTGCTATATTTAGAACACATGCATCTTCAAGGTGGTGTGGTGATCCAACCAAACCGTAATAAAGTGCGCATCATCCTACTCAAGCACAACAGGTCAACATAAATGTACAGTTTGGATCTGCCTCTAGTAAATGTGGAGATAGATGAATCGAGGTAAGGAGTAGACACCTGTTAAAAAAACAAGGGGAATAAAATGATGGTGATTGATCACAGCAGGCTTCCTCCCTGAATAACCTCCTGCTGCAGGGGCTTTGTCATATCATATACCTATTATTACTTTGTCAATGCTGTTAATGCCATGGATTTGATTTATATGTCTCCAAATTTTCAGGAACATCACTTTGCTTCACATGGTACAACCTAATATTGGTGTTCCTGCTGACCACGGCCCTGTAGATAACAAAAAACACGTGAAGCTCCCGCCCTTCAGAGTCATTCCCATCGTCGCACCATCGTGTGTGCAGTGCACAGGTGTTCCTTCTCCACCTTTCAAGTGGGTCCACGTGGGTAGGCGCCTTCGAATCCAACTAGTTAACAAACACCTTGAACTTTTGCCCCTTGGCGCAGTCGATCCCAGCGGAGCTAGCGAAGTAGACCCACATGCCGCGGTACTTGTCAGGGATCTTGTACGCCACCGTGCCCTTCTTCGCCTGCGCTGCCAGGCGCTCCGACTTGCTCGCGAGGGCACAGCTGGTCCATGATGCCTTGGAGAACAGCTGCACCACGTCGTCCACCGTGTTGGGGCTCGCCCACTTGAACTCTGGAAGTGGGAGGGGGGAGAGTGGGTTGGATTGGGTGTGCTGGGTGTGTTGGGAGTGTGAAGGGTCACAGCTGGTCCATGATGCCTTGGGAGAACAGCTGCACCACGTCGTCTACTGTGTTGGGGCTCGCCCACTTGAACTCTGGATGGGGGAGTGGGGAGAGGAGAGGGGCGGGACGGGAGTGGTGGGTGCGTGCGTACAGCTGCACCACATGGTCGACTGTGTTGGGGCTTGACCACTGGAACTCTGGAAGGGGGAGGGGGGAAGGGAGGAGAGCTCCCACTTGGTCGCAAGGTCGCAGCTGGTCCAAGCCACCTTGGAGAGCAGCTGCACCACGTCATCTACTGTGTTGGCGCTCGGCCACTTGAACTCTGGCGGAGGGAGTGGAGTGGGGGAGAGCGGGGAGGGATGGGTGTGGTGGGTGTGTGGGGGGTCGCAGCTCATCCACGCCGCCTTAAAGAACAGCCGCACTTGAACTCTGCATGAGGGGGTAGGGGGGGTGTAAGAGGGAAGTGCTAAGTTGTGAGGTCGCAGCTGGTCCAAGCCGCCTTGGAGAACAGCCACACCACGTCATTTTCCGTGTTGGCGCTCGCCCACTTGAACTCTGCATGAGGGGGTAGGGGGGGTGTAAGAGGGAAGTGTTGAGTTGTGAGGTATTGTGCAATAATCAAAAACAGTCTTGCCATGCGACATCTCAAGTAGGTCTGGCCTGGTGTGATCTTGTGCAAGAAACAGTACGTTCATGTGATATTCTACGTAGGTCCAATCTATTAAGCCGCTGCACGCACCGAGCGTGTCGCCGACGTAGATCTTCATGGGCGGCTCGATGGTGGAGATGCCCCACGTCCACGGCGACTTGGTCCGCGCCAGCCCCACCGTGTACTTGATGGGCTTGCGCACCTGATATTACGGATGTGTGAAGAGGGTGTGTTGGGGGTGGGGGGGAGGGGGGAGGGGCGTGTGCGTGGATGGCGGAGATTCCCCGTGTCCAGGGGGAGGTGCTGCGCGCCAGCCGCACTGTGTTGTGTACTTGATGGGCTTGCGCACCTGATGGAGGGGGTGTGAGAGAGGGTGTGTTGGTGCGTGTGCGTGTATGCGTGTGTGTGTGTGTGTGGGGTGGGTGGGGGGGAAGGGGGGGACCGGGAAGGGGGAGCGTGCGTGGGTGGTGGGACACAGTTACAGCAATAGTTGGTGACATGTCTTGTCAGCAGCAGATCATGCCACTAAGATGCTGGACTGACCAACAGAGGGATCGCTACTTATAAGCCACCTTAGAAGCCATAGTGGTTCTGTATAATTGATCATTCATCGAGTATTGCCGCCAGTCTTTAGGAACACCTTGTTACATCGTGAGGCCAGATGTTCAGATGACGTGGAAGCATTTGTGGGCTCCGCGATGGAGTACACGTGGCGTGTGACTGAACCTTATCGCACCAGCGATGCCACGTGGCATGCGACTGAACCGTGATCGCACCTGCGACTCCACCGCGTCTGAAGCCGCCACGATTGGTTCGGTGTGATGACCCCACGGACGAACCGCCCCCACGGAGCGTTGCGATTGTTGGATAGGTTGCCCGTCGCCGCGCATCGTCGGTCGGAGGCGAGCACGCGGAGGGGTTCGCGGTCCGCGCAGGAGAGCGGTTGGGCCGTGGGGGAAGGGGGAAAGGGGGAACGGGGGAAGGCGGGAAAGGGAAGGGCGAAAGGAAAAGGGGGGAAGGGGGAAAGGAGGAAGGGGAGAGGAAGACGGGGATGGCAGGAGAGCAATCGGTTTGTGGTGTTTCGAAGAGCATCTCACGGAAACGAACCCGCAGGACCTGGGGGAAAGGAGGGGTAGGGTGGGGGAGTCGAAGGGGAGGAAGACGCGGGAGCGACGGGGAGAAAGGGGGAGGGGGAAGTGGAGGGGAAGGGGAGGGGTAAGGAGAGGGGGAGACAGGTGTGGTAATGGAGGATAAAGACTCGAAACGAGTGTTCATAAGGAAAGGGTAAGCACGGACCGCATGAATTTCGATGCATGTTCCTAGGCTCCGCGAAACACGGACTATGGAGGCCTCAGGAGACATGTGGGGGTTAGTGTCGCCGGTCGAGACTCTACTAGACTCTGAGGAAGTCCCTAACAGGCTGTAGGCTACTCACGGGGTGCGAGGAAGACGGTAACGAGGACAAGAAGACACCAGGCTCGTACTCCAGCCATGGCGACGGACTTAAACTTGAAGGTTACACGGCGTGTTTGCGTAACGAGAGCTTTTCTCAGTGTGCGACGATTGCTTCAGTCAATGTGCGCGCCACTGCAGGTTGGCTACTTCTAGGGGAGATACTTAAAGTCGTGAAGGCGGAGCTAAATAGGAGGCTCGATAGGAGTCGCTTACTCAATCGTCCACGGCAAAAGATAACCTTGCAGAGTGTGATCACTTATGTGCGAGAATGCGGAAAAGGGATGGTTGCGTGCGAGTGTTTGTTGAGCAAGTGATTCAAAGCCTACCTGCTCACTACACTACACATGATGTGCCACCAGCAGCAGCAGCCCCATTTTCAGATTTGCCCCGCACGAACGACAAACCATTGAAGGTGACCGACTCGCGCAAAGAGGACCTTCCACGAAAAGAACGACGAGCGGAAACAGTTTCGCTGGAATCGTTCTCCAGCGTGACGTATTCTGCGAAACAGAACTGGTTTCGTTGTAGCGAATCTGGGAGAACCTGCTGAAGCACGCGAAAATTGCGGACAGTCGAAAACCGACCAAAAATCACCGACCAATCAGCAGAATACTGTAGTGTACGTTACCAGGGCCAGGTGACACCAGCCCCAGGTGCCCCCAGCAATCACGATATGCCAGATCCGTGCGGTTTCACCTGTGGATATGTACTCGTTATATCAAAGCGAAATGGAGTTATGGAGAGAGATTGTATACTGGTAAATGAGCAAGCGAAATGGAGTTATGGAGAATGCATAGCCTTATACAGAGTGTAAATATTTTTTGGCATGCGCGTGAAACAAGCAAGCTTGGTAGAAAAAAAACAGCCAAGCAGATTCACACTCCCCTAACAACCACTCCAGCACGAAGCAACTCCCGGCGAGCCCTTTCAGAAACCTTGTCCCCTTCCACCTCCAAATATTGCAGCCTTGGCACGTTCCCCAGCAGCCTGCCAATAGCGTCAGCAGTGATTCCACCGCAACCCACCACACTCAACCGATTTAACACCTCCAGTCGACTTCCTGCTATCACGCTGCCTGAGAAGCCATCACAGCCTTGCACCCTTAGATCCTCCAGCATGCCACATGCACGAAGCAGCTCCACCAGGTGCCCCTCCTCCAGCCCACAGCAGTTCAAGAGAGCCAGGCTCTTGAGCCTTCCACACACAGCAGCTCGTGCTAACGACTCAAAGGTCTGTCGTTTGGTACTCATTCTTGGGATAGTAGAGGAGGGGGGCGTCGAAGAAGGGACGGAAGGGAAGGATGTGGTGGGGGGAAAGGGGCACATGAGGGGAGAGGCAGAGGGGAGGGAGGGTAGCCCGGAAGGGTCACAGGTGGAGACGAAGCGGATGGAGTCAAGGGTCAGCGACTCCAGTGGGGGGCAGAGCACCTCAAAGACCAAACCGCGTTCGTTCCTTACCAGGCTCCCATCCCACTCCTCGGAGCCGACTCTAGCTTCTCCATCCAATGCCATGGGTCCTCCACAGTTCCTTGTCCAGCATTTCCATCGGGCACAATCACTGGCATCTGTGCCCCCACCCTCCGCCACAACCTCCTGGCACAAAGTGAAATCCAACAAGCAGGAGTCATCACCATCTTTCCCAATGATGTCGACTACTGTGACCTCTTTGACACCAAAACCGGCATTCATCTAGCCCGCTTCACTCTCAATTCCAACAACCTATACACGCTCGTAGTACCTCCCATTCAAACGTGCTCCCTCACAAACCTCCCATTACCTTCCCTTGACTCCTCCACCTGTCACTGCCGCCTCCTTTCCGACAAAACCATGCTCTTTCATCACCGCCTTGGCCACATCAACTTTCGCGCGCTTTCAGACCTTGCCACAAAACAACTCCTCCACGGGCTTCCAACCTCACTTCCCTCTCCTACCTCCACCCTAGGGCCGCCTTGCCTTGACTGTGCACAGAGCAAACTTCGTGAACAGCCCCATCCCCCCATTGAGTCCATCTCCGCTGCACCTCTCGATCGCGTGCACATGGACCTTTGGGGCCCAGCTCCTGTTCGCTCTCGCGGTGGACACTTTTACTTCCTTGTCATTATTGATGACTACTCCCGCTATGTGTCTGTCCACCTTCTCTCCTCCAAATCCGAAGCCCCAGGCGTAATCATTGAATGGGCGAAGCAGGCTCATAAACACTTCAAAACCACCATCAAGGTCCTTCACTCTGACGGCGGCGGTGAGTTCCGCAACAACACTCTCAAAGCTTACTGCTCCACTGAGGGTATCCGTCAGACCTTCACTCTCCCAGACAGTCCCCAACAGAACGGTATTGCCGAAAGCCGGAACCGTACATTGGTGCAGATTGCTCGCTGCCTCCTCACGCATGCCTCCGCCCCTCCCTCTCTCTGGGGGTACGCCATGCTTCATGCTGCCGCCCTCCACAATCTCCATCCCCATCCTCATCACACCCACACCACCCCCGCTGAGCTATGGACGGGTCAAAAGCCATCCGTTCGCCCTCTTCGTGTATGGGGGTGCACTTCTTATGTCCTCCTCAACTCCCAAGCCCGTCGTGCGGCTGTCGGCAAACTTGCTCCCAAAACGATCACGTGCGTATACCTCGGGCACAACTTAGACTCGCCAGACTATCTCTTCCTCCATCCTTCCACCAACAAGCTCTATCGCAGCCGGGACGTTTACTTTGATGAGTCCCACCCATTCTACCCCTCCTCCAAGGCTTCCCCCTCTCCTCCGCCTCCCTCTCTTACTTGGGCTGACTTTGACAGTCTCCCTCTTCCCGACACTCCATCTCCTCCTCTTCCCGCTCCCTCCACCATTTCTGATCCCCCATCACCCGCTTCCCCCTCCAGTACCACACAGTCTCCCTCGCTCCCTCCCTCCTCCGCTACCCATCCTCCATCTCCTCTCGCATCTCCTCCTACCGAGCCCGTTCCTCTCAAAACCTACCAACGCCGTCACCCAGCTCCTCCTCCTCCTGCTCCCACCCCTGATCCCGATCCTGTCTCCACTCTCCCTCCCACCCCCACCTCCCCTTCCGCTACGCCTACTCCGGCCCCGCCTCCCTCACCCATCGCTTCTCGCACCCGCTCTCGCACACCTCCACAACCGTTCTCCCTTTCCGTTCGCGTCTCTCTCAATCCTCCTCCTGTCGGGGGTGATTATTCTCTCATGCCATCCCTCCTTGAAGACAGACATGAGGAGTTGATTGATATCGACTCAGCCATCCACGCACTATGCTCCCTCTTTCCAGACATCGCAGACTCTCCCACCCTCAATTTCTCCGACAACCCTTCCATCCCCACACCTCTCACCTATGCTGAAGCACTCTCTGGTCCTCACGCCGCTCAGTGGATGGGGACCATTGTCGCAGAATGTGAGGCCTTCATTCACACAGGAACTTTCACAGACGTCTCTCCTCCCTCCGGCGTTAACATTGTGAAGGGAAAATGGGTCTTTCGGGTGAAACAACTTCCAGGCGAATTTCCTGTCTTCAAAGCCCGGTACTGTGCCAAGGGATTTACCCAAAAGCGTGGACTGGAATTCTTTGAGACATTCTCTCCCACCGCCAAACCTCCCACACTGCGCACTCTATTCGATGTCGCTGCTCGAGATGACATGGAGGTTGACTGCATGGATGTGTCTTCTGCGTTCCTGCAAGGGATCCTTCGAGAGGAAATCTATATGGAGTGGCCCGAAGGATTTCCAACTCCTTTTCCACCAGGCACTGTATGGAAGCTGAATCGGCCAGTGTATGGCCTCAAGCAAGCTCCCCGGGAATGGCACAACAAGCTAAAGAGCACCTTAGGGTCCCTCGACTTTCACCCATCCACCTCTGACCCCAGCCTCTTCATCCGAGCAACAGCCTCCCGGTTCTTCATCCTCGTTTATGTCGATGACATGATCCTTGTCACCAAGGATCAGACTGAGCTGGCAGCAGTCAAAACCGCACTTGGTGAGAAGCTGGCCATGAAGGACCTTGGGAAGCTGACGAACTATTTGGGAATGGAAATCACACGTGATCGCACAGCCCGCACCATCACCCTTTCGCAGAAGTTTTACATCAACAACGTTCTGACGAGGTTCCAGATGCAGGAAGCAGCATCAATGCCCACCCCACTCTCTCTGCAACACCAACTCACTGCACCCTCCATTCCCTCACCTGAGCCCTGTGACGAGCCTTACCCCGAGCTTGTGGGATCCCTCATGTACGCGATGATGTGCACTCGACCAGACTTAGCCTATCCAGTCAGTGTACTGTCCCGCTACGTTGCACCTGGTCGCTTCACTCGCCACCACTGGTCTGCCGCCAAGCGGGTTCTTCGCTATCTCAAAGGCACATAGGATTATGTGCTCACACTTGGCGGCACTTCCCCGGTTCGCCTTGGTCGTCCTCCGTCTCACTGTCGACCTGTGAGGCAGAGCTGTATGCCGGGACCATGGCTGCACAGGAGGCTCGTTGGCTCTCCTTCCTGCTGACAGAACTGGGGTATCCCCAACCAACCCCAACGCTTTGGTGTGACAACGAGAGCACCATTCATCTCACCAAAGACCCCGTTTTCCATGGCCGCACCAAGCACATTGAAGTCCGTCACTACTTTCTTCGGGAGCTGGTGCAGCGCGAGCAGCTGAAGGCTGAACACATTGCCTCCGACTGCAACCTTGCTGACTTGTTTACCAAGTCGCTTGTTCGCGAGGATCATTACCGCCTCCTCTCGGCCATGGGTGTTGGGCCTCCTTGTGGCTGATGTGTTGCAGCCTAGGGGGTGTGTTAGAATTAGGCTGTCAACACTTTGTGTACTATATTCTATATCGCGTAGGTTATTTGTGGGTTGGGTGTAGTTTGTGATCCCAACCCTATCTGGTTGGGATTCCCTCGTAATCTTGCAAATCTGCCAACTCACCAATTGGAGATTTGCTAGGATTCCCATCCCATCCTTTCCCTAGCCTTGCCCATCCCAACCTCATTTGTACTTAAGGCCTAGTGCCTTCTTTCTTAATCAATCAGTTCAGTCTCAATTCCGTCAGCGCTCCCCTGTGGAGGTGGGCGGGTTGAGCTTCTGCCGCCCAGCTGCTTGGCCCGTGGCAGCTGCTCGAATGCTCCTGCTGCTCTCACGTCCTCTCCCACAGCCCCTCTTGCTTCTCCTTGTGCGCTTCTTGGATCCTGTGCCGCTGTCCCTTCTGTCGCTGTACCTTCTGCCGCCATCCCTTCTGCTGCTGCCCCTTCTGCCGCTGCCCCTTCTGCTGCTGCCCCTTCTGCTGCTGCCCCTTCTGCCGCTGCCCCTTCTGCCGCTGCCCCTTCTGCCGCTGCCCCTTCTGCTGTTCCATGCACTGCCGGCCCAGGTTCAGCTGCCGCTGCTCCAGCTCCTGCTGCTGCGGTGACCAACCCTCCTGCCGCTGCCCCAGGCACTGCTGCCAGCACGGGAACTATCACCAATCCGGGCAGTATTGCGGGGTGGGGCTGTGCAGGGTCATGGATCTCAAAGCGGGCGCCCATGTCCTCCATCTCCAGCAGCAGCAGCTCCATCAGCGCGTGCAGCAGCTCCCGTGCGTCGGCTCGCGGCACCGCCACCCACGCCAGCAGCTTCTCACTCACGGCCGCCAGATCATCTTCCAGGTCATCCTCGGGCATGTATCGCACCACCTCCTCCGCATCAATCCCTTGCCCTCCCCTCCCCTCCTCGTCATCCCTCTCCGGCTCCACCCCCACTTCCTCCTCCACTTCCTCCTCCACAGCAGCAGTGAAGATGCCTGCGGTCTCGGCGGCACGACAGGCCTTTGCAAGTGCCGCCTCGCGTGCACTCCAGCCTTTCATTTCGGCCTTAGCCAGGCGCACGCAGCGGCAGAGCAGGATGGCGGAGCGCACCTGAACGACAGCCTAGGAGATGAAATCGAGAGCCCCCACCCCGTGGTGCAAGCGGCGCCAGCGCAGCGCCTCTGTGGCGGCCTTCTTGAGCTTCCACTTGGACGTCTTGGTGAGCGCCATCCAGTTGTCCATTGCTGCCACAAACTCAGCGCGCCCTGCTGCTGCTTCCTTGTGCAAATCCACGTACCGTCGCCTCCTGCTACTGCAGACCACCGGCGTGGCAGCTGCTGCAGGCGATACCGCTTCGTCGCCCTCCTCTGCTTCAGCCGTCATTGCCTCTGCTTCATCTTCTGTTTCTGCTTCCCCTGCTGCTGCTGCTGCTGCTGCTGCTGCTGCTGCTGCTGCTGCTGCTGCAGCAGGGGAAGCAGCAGTGCTTCCTCGCCCTCCATTCTCCCCAACCATCGCCCCTTTCCACCTCTCCACTCTATCGCCGCCTCCCTCCGGTCCTTCAGGAGCCCCCAACTGCTCCACGCGCACCAGCATGGCCACAATGCAATCCAGAGACGGCTTTTGTGGCGACTCAGACGGCAGAATACTCCCCCTCGCCGCCTCCCTTCCTCTCAGCGTCAGCCACTGCAGGCTGCTGCAGCGTGCAAGCATGCCCGGGCGGTACGAGGGCAGCCCGGAGAGAGTGAGGGTGTGCAGGCTGGAGGAGGAGGAGAGGAAGAGATCCCGAAGGCCGCATGCGATGAAGAGGAAGTGGGAGGTGGAGTGAAGGGAGAGGGAGGCGAGCGCGGGGTTGCTTTCAGCGAGCGCTGCGAGGGAGTGGCTGGGAATCATGGGGCAGTGGTGGACCGCCAGATGGGTGAGCGTGTGCAGCGAGCGAGCGAGCGCGTGCAGGTCGCAGGGATCGATGGTGCAGGAGAGAAAGGAGAGAGAGGCGAGGCGAGGGAGAGAGGCGAGGGGCGTGAGGGCGGTTTCCAGCCAGGCATTGTGGATGGTGAGGGAGGTGAGGGAGCGGTGGAGAGGGGTGGAGGGGGATGCGAGGGAGTGGAGGGCGAAGGCGTCGGGGTGCTAGAGGGCGAGCGAGGTGAGCGAGGAGCAGAGGGCGATGCAGCGGTGGTGCGCGGGCACGAAGAGGAGGGAGAGAGAGCGCAGTGAGGGGAAGGTGTGCACTGGGGGAGGCAGAGGGTCGGTGTAGGCGAAATGGCAGTTGAGGTCCAGAGACGTCAAGTGGCTGATGCACGGGGGAGAGCAGGTGCGAGCAGTGGGAGCAAAGAGATTGGGGGAAGAGGGGTGGAGGGGGATATGATTGTGCGACGTATGCGGTTCTACACAAAGGGTTGAACAGGTTACCGCCGTTTCTGAACAACCGCTGTTTAGGCCCAGAGGCCTAGCGGGGCGTCATGGGTTGGGTAATTGGCGGAGACATGAGACAAGTAGAGGTGCTGCTATGCAGTGAAGGAATTGGTTCAAGGCTTAGACGGGAGGGAGAGGAAGGGGTGAAGGGAACACAGGTGGAGAGGATGTGAGGCTAAGCGAGTGGGGCCGGAGTCATGGCTTAGTTGGAGTATACGCTCTGAATATTTTGCGTATTGCGTTTATACGCGCTAAAAAAACGACCGCTGCGTTTTTGGTTCGGAAACGCTGAAAAACGCTCGGGCAGACCGGGAAAAAAAATAAAAATTTGAGTTTCGTTTAGCGACATGGCGATTCAAGTGTGGGGTTTCGCACGTCGCGAGTGCAACCCCGAATTCGAAATTTGAAACCTAGTCGCACCAAACCCATCCTTTACCATTGCAAACCCCCTTGTACCCCGTTCACTTCCAACCTCTTCAAATACAATGTTGAGGTGAGTCCCCCTCAACCCACCCACCATTCCTACCATAAATGTCGTGTCTTTCCACTCGACTTTCATTACTCAGTTTAGCTCTCTTCTTTAGCTCGCCTTTCAGTATGGCGACCCCTCCTGCAGCAACACTCAGTACTACTACCCCTACTGCAGCTCCTAATGCTAGTTCTGTTGAGGAAACCAGCGCCGGTCTGGTTATCATGCACGAAACCCATGCTGTGTACAAGCATTTCCTTGTGAAAGCCGGCGACGACAGCGACCACGACACCAAGGTGTGCATGTACTGTCGCCACAAGTTCACGGGCGGTATGTACCGCGCTGCTCAGCACATCACCAGCTGGAAGGGTATGCGGCGTCGTGAAATCCGCCTCTGCGAGGAAGCTCCCAAGACCGCGCGGGATGGAGTGAAGTCACAGTACTAGACGAAGTCCAGGACCCGGGACCAGAAGCGCGCGGCTGAAGTCTCGGCCGTTGCTGCAGTTTCCGGTGCTTCTGGCGAGGCGAAGAAGTCTCGCATGACCGATTTCTACGGCGACGCGTCAGCCTGCAAGAAGAACGATGCCGACGAGTCGATCTGCCTCGCGTTCGCTGCTCTGCGCCTCCCCGAACACCACGCGGACCACCCTGTTTGGCGCAACATGGTCTCCTGCATTGCGCGTGCGGGCGAAGGCTACCTCGCACCGAGGCGTCGCTACGTCGGCGGCGTCAGGCTCCAGAAATGTCGTAAGCGCATTGAGGCGGCGCTTGCTCCTATCGCGGCGAGCTGGCGGCGGGATGGCGTAACGGTGTCAAGCGAAATGATGACTGATCGTAACGGCCGTCCGCAAGCCAATGTCCTTCTGATCAACGACAATGGCGCGGTCTTCGCTGAGACAATCGGCACACGGATGGAATCGAAGACGGGAGCTTACATCGCGGGGCTTCTCCGTCCCATTCTCAAGAAAGTCGGACCGGAAAATGTGGTGGCATTTTGCATGGACGGCGGCTCGAACTATGCGGTGGCGTGCAGGGAGCTGATGGAGGATTACCCCCACATTGAGTACATACCTTGTGCTACCCACATCCTCGATCTGTTGTTGGAGGACGTGGGGAAGATGGACTGGGCGAAGAACCTTGTCACCCGCGGGGGAGAGATCATCACCTTCACGCGCAACCACCACTTCACGCGGAGGTATTTGCGAAGCTCTGAGGTCAAGGGCGGGAAGGGCAAGCAGGTCCTGAAACCCGCGGGCACTCGCTTCGGGACGCAATTCATCGCTATTTCCCGCCTTGTCGAAGTCCGTGCTGCCCTCGTGCAGATGGTTTTAAGCGATGAATGGAATGAGTGGGCAACAGGGGCAAGGAGTAAAAGCGCTGACACTTTCCGCGAGCACATCATGGACGAGGCTTGGTGGAAGAAGGCCGAGTTCTTCACCAAGCTCATGGCGAAGCCGTTCGCCGTCATGCGGGCTACGGATGCTGCGACAAAGGGGATGATGGGGCGCCTCTACAACGCCATGCTGCAGCTCACCGAGGACGTGGATGCAATCCTCGAGGAGCACTCCGCGGGTCACCTGACGAGGGCGGAGGTTAAGGAGATTCGCCTCATCGTGAAGGATAGGTGGGATAAGTGCTTGGCGTGCCCCTTGCGTGTGGTTGGCAGGATCTTGAATCCGGTCAACTAAGAGGAGGGCATCTTCAAAAACGACATCGAATGCACGCGCGTGCTGAAGGGCTACATCGCCAAGCACTACGACCACCTCACCATGACCGCGAGCGACGGCGAGGAGCGCCGAGCCTCTCTTGTGCTTCAGGAGGAACTGACGGCGTACCTGACCCTGCAGGGGAGTTGCGGGCTGCCCACTGCCTTGGAAGACCGCGCGGCTGAGAAGGCGGGGAAGATGACGGCCGTCCAGTGGTGGAATTGGCACGGCACAGATGCGCCCCACCTTGCTACGTGCGCAATCCGCAACCTTTCGCAGCCGGTGTCCGCGTCGCCCTGTGAGCGCAATTGGTCCATGTGGGACGCGGTCCACACGGCAAGGCGCAACCGCCTCGGGTCCGAGAAGTGCAGGGACCTCGTATATGTTGTGCACAACTGGCAGGTTGTGCACAATTGGTACAAGATCCCTGAGGGGCAGCGGGTGGTCAAGGGCAACATTCCTGAGGCGCCCCTTCCCGAGGGCTACAAGGTGGAGGAGGATGGGGCGGAGGAGGAGGTTGGGGAGGAAGAGGACATGGTTCTTGAGGATGAGTATGCATAGACATGCATGTGGGGAGGGGGTAGTATGGGATGGGATGGGATGGGCCTATGAAGTGTAGGGATTCCTGAAAAGGGAAGGGAAAGGGAGGTGGGGTAGGGGGTCTAGTGATGTAGGCAAAATGTTGTGTGCATGTAACCTGCCCTATAATAAAAAGGGAAAGGGAGGTGATGGTGCCTTGCACCACCCCCTTCCCCACATCTTAACCCACAAAAATTCACCTGCCCGAAACTTTTTTTACCCCTGCCCGGCCCTGCGTTTTCACTGCGTATTAGACCCCTCCAAATCTGCGTACTGCGTTTATACGCTAGCGTATAAAACGCGAAACGCGTATACTCCAACTAAGAGTCATGGCGCGGGAACGGCGAAGAGAACAGGCAAGTGGCGGTGCACATGCAATGAAAAACGGCGGCGAATGAGGGTGTGGCGAATTCGTGTTGGTGATAGAGGTTCGTAAGACGGAAAGCATGCGAAGCGGGGTAGCGGTTTTGCGCAGGGCAGTACTTTCACAATACAAACCTGCTAGAGAATAAAGGAGAGAATGAACGAAAGGGGGAGAACAAGTATACGAGGAGTCGTCGCGGCGCGGAACCAGAACCACTCACTCACTCAATCACTCACTCACTCACTCGCTCACTCACTCACTCACTCACGGGCATTGTGTGGCGAACTTCCTCCACGTCGCGGGCTGATCTGAAAGCGGGCACGCGCCGACACGAGCTTCAGCCTCTCCAGTCGCGGCCACCCCGCGCCGATTCCGCCCAGAAGATGGTCCAGGGTGCCGCAACTGTTGGGAACAAATAGTCTTAAGCGCCTCTGTCGTGTCGAAACTCAAGACACAAGCGAAGCAGCTCAAATCGAAGCACCGCGAGTCAACCCTCGGAGGTTAACGTAACCGCTGGAGGTTACGAGAAAGTCAAAGGTCAGCGACCTTTGACCTGACGCAGCGCGACAGCAAGGACACACAACTGACTCGACATTGAGCAGTTGCCCGATTCGCACTGTATCGAACCGCAACAGTAAAACAGTTACAATTATGTCTCTTCATATTCTCTGTACTCATATATATATTCCTATATCTCTTTGCTTTAATTAACTTACTTTGCCCTCACATACTAGCGCAAGGTGGTTCAAGGACTTTATTCAAACGCTTCCGCTACTACATCATTTACTCTGACTTTAACTCTACTAAAGATCCTAAGGCGTTTAGCCCAACATGGTATGAGAGCTGGTTAGAGTTAAAAATTTCTCTTCAACACTTAATACATCAAGAAGACATGTCTGCTAGAAAGGAGAGGAGCTCCTCCAACGGCTCTCCCGGTACTACCCCTACTCCACCTCCTACCTCTGGCCTACTGACAGAGGAAGGGACAACAACTAGACCAGCAGCTGGGTCTACGGAAACACCCGCAAACCAAGGCGCGGGCTTCGATCCAAGTATGATGGAGAAATTCTTCTCCTTCATGTCCTTCTACGAGCAGCATCAGCAAGGAGTACCTGCGGAATCAAACAACAGCAACAACAACAACGTGACGCCCATGAGTCTCGATGGCTCATCCTACGCACGCGGGAATCAACATCAACAACCTACCTTCGCTCCGTACGAGCCCCAGCGCGGCTCCGTCAGCTTCATGCCGCAACCAGAACCTGCACCGGGACAAGAAAGAGCACTGGACGCACTACAAGTTCAGTCGCAATTCGCGCATGTTCTGAAACTACAAACGACAAAACCTTTCGACGGGAAGGATTTCTTTACCTGGTCGTTCGAATTCGAGCTGATGATGGAAGGAGCGCAGATCCTTGGCTTCTTCGACGGGTCCCTGCCATATCCAACAAACGGCACGCAGTATGAGAAGCAGCCGTACACCTATCAATCGATGATGGCGTACAAAATACTACTGAGAAACATCACCCCGACTCAACAGCAGAACATAAGGACTTACCGAGGTTACGGTAACTCCGCGGAGCTCGCGTACAACCACTTGAAGAACCTGTATCAAGCAACAGACAGCGTAAACCAAAGCCGGTTAATGGCGCAGCTGACAACAATCGAAATGAAACCAGGCGAGAAGGGCATGGCATATATCAGTCGCTGCCGCGAACTGCGCGCCAAGCTTCTTCGATGTGGAGGATCGATTTCAGAAGACGCCTTTGTCACGGTTGTCATCGGTGGTCTTGGCCCTCACTGGCGCTCCACTCGCGCCATATAACGGGCACACGGGAGAATCTCCGAAGCAACACTCTGCGCCGAAATTCATGCTGAACAGCAGGACATGGACCTGCAAGAAGAACGACATAAGAAGAAAACGTCAGTACCAGAGTTCGCGTTTCACACCCAGCGACGCTACAACAACAACAATCGGCAGCAACAACAATTGAAGCCAGTACCTCCGTTTTGCCATATCTGCAAGACTTCAGGGCATCCTCGTACGCACTGCCCGTATCGCCAGCAATCGACAACACCACAGCGACAACTTCGGCCTTCAAGCTCCCAAGTCACTTCAACGCAAGCAACTCCCACGACAAAGATTCAAACCTCAACGACTCCAACAGGACAACCTGCACAAGGAGCAAGAAATATCGTCAACTGCATGGCAAAGACAACAGATTCCTGCATCACCGAATCACCGCCGCACTAGTCACCAGAAGAACGACTTGACGAAACCACACCTCGCCGCGACTCACTTCAGCCGAACCCGACATACGCCGCCATCGCTCAAAGCGAGCCATCCGGAAGAGACACTTGGTTCTTGGACAGTTGCTGCGGACAACACATGTGCTCCTCAGGACGTTTCGTTCAACGCGAGCACCGACTTCAACGAGAAGTCGTCATCACCGTCGCCAATAATCAGAACCTGCGAACAAGACGACAAGGCATAGTACAGCTTCAGTCACGGGAGACGAACGTCGTACTACAAATGTCAAAAGTCCTAATAGCAGAGGGACTCGGCTACAACTTACTGAGCGTCAGTCAACTGATGGCGAAAGGCATACACCTGGAAGCCGACAGCACCATCCAGGAGTTCAAACTGCACCACGGGAAGGGCGGCCTCTACATCGGAAAGGCGGTTCTGAAGAAAAACGTCTTTGTCCTTGACTTCGTCCCAGACCTGGGCACCGCAGACAGCGACGCCATCGTGAACTTCACCGACTGGACGCACCCTCCAGATCTTGATCCAGACTTCAGCCCGGAAGGCTTCTGGTACTCGCATACCATCCCTGAAGCAGAACGAACACGCGCGTTAGCAACAATTCAACATCCGGCAGCAGCAGAGACAACATCGGCAGCAGCAGAAGCAGCAGAGACAACATCGGCAGCAACAGAAACATCATCGGCAGTAGCAGAACCATCGTCAGCGACACCAGTTCTCGTTGACAAAGCACCACCAACACTCGCACAGTAGCTGAACCCAACTCAACGAGAAGTCCACAGAAGCGCAAACTTCGTCGCCAGCTTCTACTCCAACTCCGATGCGTATCAACGCTCACCCGGACACCGCGCCTCCGAAGACATCTGGCATGCACGCATGGGACATCCAAGCAACACCGTGTTAAGTAATACAATAAGAGCAGGAGTCCTAGACAAGGATTCATTACTACTACCCGACAGCAGAGAACTTCAACGGGCACGAGGAACTTGCCTCACCTGCCCCGAAGCCGACTTACCACATCGACCGTTTACTCCTCACCACAACCCGAGCGCACCCGCGTACGCACCACTCGAGAAGGTGTACAGCGATATTCTCTTCAATCGAGAACCAGGACAAGTTACTTACAACTACACGATAACCTTCATCGATGCCGCCACTCGATACGTCTGGCACCTAAACCTACCCAGCCGCGACATGGCACTCGCAGCGTTCGCCGCCTGGCTACCAGTAGCAGAGAGAGAGTCGGGAGCACAGCTGAAAAGCTTCCAGTCAGACGGAGGAGGAGAATACACCTCTCAGCGCTTCAAGCAGTACCTGGCGGAAAGAGGAATCAAGCAGCTCCTCTCCCTTCCCTACGCCCATCAGCAGCAAGGTGTCGCAGAAAGAATGAACAGGACTCTGCAGAACAGCATGCGCAAACTGCTACGTGGCATGCGGCTACCCAACCACCAGTGGCCTCCAGCAATGGACCACGCTGTCATGCTGCACAACTTGATGTCGTCATCCTCACTTCCGAACAACGCATCACCGCACCTGCTGTGGACAGGGAAACAGGGCAGCACAAAAATGTTACGAGTTTTCGGGTGCATGGTACAGTACCGACCCCCAGAAGCACGAGCGGGAAGATTTTCACAACGCGCACAATGGGGACTACACCTCGGCATCGAAAAGAATTACAACGCGTGGAAAATCTTCGACGTCCACTCCAAGGAAACAGTAGCAGCACGTGACGTGATCTTCTACGAACGACTCACGCTTCAGACGTACCTCGCCAACTTGCACGAAAATCAGGACCCCACAGGTGGCTTTCGTGGTGACCGAGCCTTCGCCTTAGCAGCGGACGAAGCAGACTGGGACGAGCAAAACGTCGACAACGCATCAGAAGAAGCCGGACCTCTACCGTTCTGCTCCGTCAACGTCCCCATGGACGAAGAAAATCCTCGCGAAAGCGCCAACACCGAAGTCTTCAACCACTTCGCCGACAACGGTTACGTAACACCTGCGACAGTCAACACCAACGAAGCAGAACGGATAGGGCCGAATTTCATACCCGACCCTGAAGCGGGAGATGAAGCAGCTTATCCCGAGGACACAACTCTCCCTCGCTACTCACAGACTGGACTGCAGATTCTCGGCCTCGTCACCGCAGTCCACGGCAATGCTCTTCCTAAAGAGCCTGCGAAAGTTCAGCAGGCTCTGGGGGGGGAACACAGGGAGAAATGGCGTGAAGCCATGGACAGAGAGTTAAAGGCGCTGGAGGAACGCAACACCTGGAAAGTCGTTCCCGTAAGTGTGGCAAGGAACAAGACCATCCTCACCGGGAAATGGGTCTTCCGCATTAAAACAAAGGCAGACGGTACAATCGAGAAATTCAAAGCACGCTAGGTCGTGCGTGGATTCGACCAGGAGCACGGACGGGACTTCACCGAGACATTCGCCCCGGTCAGCCGACATACCTCACTCCGAATTCTTCTCGCGATCGCCGTTATGAAGAAGAAGAAACTGCGACAAATCGATGTCGCCAACGCGTTCCTCTACGCACCCGTCGACGCCAAAATCTTCGTCGAGCTCCCACACGGTACCCACGGGGAACCTAACCAAGTCTGCCAGCTACTGAAATCGCTCTACGGTATCAAACAAGCCTCGTGGCTATGGCAACAGCACCTACACACTCGCCTCACTCGCATCGGATTCCGCCAACTACCTCACGACCAAGGAATGTATCGACTCACCAAAAACGCCGACTATATCCTGCTGATCGTCTACGTCGACGACCTACTCTACATTGGCTCCACCGACGACGTCACCACCTGGTTCGAAGGGGAGCTGCAGAGGGATCTTACACTCACGGTCTCCTCTACCGTCACTCAGTACCTCGGACTCAACATCCGCGAAGAAGAGAACGCGATCTATCTCAGCGCCGAAAAGTATGCCGACACTATCGCCAAACGCTTCTCGCTCACACCTACCACTATCTCCACGCCATACCGCTACACGGCAGGGAACGACAAAGGAGGTCCCGCTCTACTCAAAACCGCCGGAATACGCGACTACCAGAGGAAGCTGGGCTGCCTTCTCTTCGCAGCCGTCACCTGCCGCCCAGATCTGTCCTACTCCGCAAGTCAACTTGCTACCTATCTCAAAAGGCCCGAAACAGAACACCTGGCGGAACTCGACCGCGCTCTCCACTACTTCGTGAGCACCTCGACGATCGGCCTGATATACTACAAGAGTAAAACTACACCGACGAAACTAATTGGCTACGTCGATGCCGATCACGCCGGCGATTCAGACAACAGACGCTCCCGCACTGGCTACATCTACCGCCTCGAACCTATCGGACCTATCTCCTGGCAATCGAGCAAGCAGGAACTAATCGCTCTCTCCTCAGCTGAAGCAGAATATATCGCACTCTGCTCAGCCACCAAGGAAGGACTCTATCTTCGCGAGCTGCTGGAAGAAGCGAAGTTAGCCGAGTTACCCAGCTTCACTCTGTTCAGCGACAACCAATCTGCGATTCGCATCGCCAACAAGAGCAGATTCGCGAACAGAACGAAGCATATCGCCCTGCGATATTTCTTCGTGAAAGACGAGATCGAGAAAGGGAAACTCAAACTATCCTACTGTCCCACGTCTGAGATGGCAACTGACTACTTGACCGAGAAGCTCGGAAAACAGAAGTTCGAGTACTGCATGCTGCTGACTGGACAAAGCCACGTCACCATCAGCGACACTCCAGAAGCGAAGGGGAGTGTTGGGAACAAATAGTCTTAAGCGGCTCTGTCGTGTCGAAACTCAAGACACAAGCGAAGCAGCTCAAATCGAAGCACCGCGAGTCAACCCTCGGAGGTTAACGTAACCGCTGGAGGTTACGAGAAAGTCAAAGGTCAGCGACCTTTGACCTGACGCAGCGCGACAGCAAGGACACACAACTGACTCGACATTGAGCAGTTGCCCGAGTCACACTGTATGGAACCGCAACAGAAAAACAGTTACAATTATGTCTCTTCATATTCTCTGTACTCATATATATATATATATATATATATATATATATATATATATATATATATATATATATATATATATATATATATATATATATATATATATATATATATATATATATATATATATATATATATATATATATATATATATATATATATATATATATATATATATATATATTCCTGTATCTCTTTGCTTTAATTAACTTACTTTGCCCTCACATACTAGCGCAAGGTGGTTCAAGGACTTTATTCAAACGCTTCCGCTACTACATCATTTACTCAGACTTTAACTCTACTAAAGATCCTAGGGCGTTCAGCCCAACAGCAACTAACCTCCACCGTGAGGTCGATTACATGGGTAAATACCCCAGAATAAACGTCGAGGTTCTTCAGCCATTCTCGGGCAGTGACCCCCTGTTCTTTTGCGAAGAAGTGGAGGTGGAGCGAGTGGGTCGTGAGGTGGGAGAGGCGGCGGAGTTGGGAGCAGGAGAGGGCGAGGCTGCAGCGGTCGCGCGGATGATCGACGCGCGCGACAATGGGGTGGAGAAGCTCGTCGGGTAGCGACCGCAGGCGCGAGCTCTCGCGACCGCGCGCCCCCTTCATCGCCGCGCGCTAAGGGTTTTGTTAAGGGCAAAGTGCAATTTCCTAGGGACAGTAGCAGGACAAAACTGGCAGGTGTCACGGGACTCCTATTGGACCAAGAAGTTGGAATCCCACTACACGACGTACCCTCTTGTCAGTAAGCTGCGTCCGTGAATCTGCTTGATGCGACGAACACGAACGTACGGTACCTATGGCGGATTTCGCGTTTGGTGCTTCAGCTCGCTCGCAATTCTAGTAGCGCGTTTCGGGTCTGGCCCTCCGTCTTCTTGGCTCACCCCTCCCTCTCCCACGCGACGACTTACACACTGTTCTCGCCATACTGGATCTCGATATAGTGGATTCCAGAATGAAAAAGAACGGTTAGGGGTGGTTTGATTATCACCCCGAGGCTTAGATTGCTACTAAAAAAAACTTATGCGCCGGATCTCAACTTTTATGGGATCCCCACGAATTGGGTAGGGGCTTTTACCGTACCGTAATTGAAAAAAAAAAAATAAAAAAAAATGACACCCCTTTGGCTTATATCAAGCCCCGGGACAAAAAAGGGGGGGGGGGGTAATACGGTATTCAACGCTTCATCATTCAGGGAGCGCCGAGGTTGGTAACTGTGAAAGTCCCGGTCCATGATCCGCCAGCAGCAAGTGTGAGCGGGCTCCGGGCACAGGAGAAGCCAACACAGATGAACTCGTCCCAGTCTCGAAGCCCACAGGTCTCATCTGAAGCATGCACCGTCAGATCTCCCAATCCAACGGCTGTGAGGCGAAAGGACAGCCTGCGACCCTGAGAGAGGGGGATGGGTTGAGAAGGACTGTGTGTGTGAGGCAGTTGTAGAGTTTGCAGTGATTATGTGACTCATTGGAATGGCCACAGATTAATACTCGAAAAGAGCCCCAAACTCGGAAACACTATTACCACACCAGCCACCCAGCCACTAACCCCCCCTGCTGCTTGCACGCGCCCCATTCCCTTCAGGCTGCGAGATGCCATGCCTGCCATCCAGCCTAGACTCGCACTCCACATGCACATACAAAGCGAGCTTCTATTGAACCCACATGCACACGCCTCTTACAGTCACACCACTTACTCTATCAAGGAGTGTCACCGAGCTAGGTCCGTCCACAAACATCCGCTTTATAGGCGCCTCAATATCAGCATAGTCTGCTCTCTCCACGCCCTCCTCTCCCCCCTCCAACACGTCCCTCCACAGCCCCTGCAGCCGCCCTACCATTTCCTTGTCATCTGGACTAACTCCTTTATTTGCTTCTGTTACTGCTGCATTGGTACCTCCTGCTGCTGTGCCTGCTATTGCTGCTTCTAACTCTTGCAGCCCCACACTTCTCTCCACCTTCCCACTGCTCTGCTTCTTCTTGCCCAATTGCCCGAATAAACCTCCCATTCCCCATAGCCCTCCTCCTTCAGCCGTCTCCTGCTGCTGCCGCCCCTGCTGCCGGCCACTACGACTGCCACAGTACCGCACGCCTTTGCAGCCGATCAGGCGAGCCCCGTTGATGGTGGAGAGAGAGAGGTGGGCGGCGAGAGAGGGGGCGAAGAGGAGATCAGGGGAGGGCTGCTGAGGGGTGCTGGTGGGTTGTGAGGATGCTCGTGTGGTGGGTTGTGTCATGCTGCTGCTGCTGCTGCTGCTGCTGCTGCTTGTGGTACTGGCGGTGCGAGTGGCAGTGTTTTGCACGCTGAGGGAGGAGGAGAGGGAATTGGGAGTGAGAGTGATGGTGAGGGCGAGTGAGGCGGTCCCTGACCAAGAGGAGGAGGAGGAGGCGGATGGGGAGGTTGAGGAGGATGAGGAGGAAGAAGAAGGGTGTGAATCCGCATGTAATGACTGAGAGAGCACAATCTGCAGGAACAACAAGAGACAGTTTCAGGGAGCAGAGAGAAAGAAGGATGAAGGGTTTGGCGGCAAAGGGAGCACTGAGAAACCATGAGGCATTAACGAGAAAAATGAAGAAGGAATAAGCAAGGCGGGATGAAAATTGAGAGGCAAAGGACGAAATGGAGGGAGATAACCAGAGCAATAAAAAGCGGGGAAGAAGAATCAAAGCTGAAAAAGGTGCTGCTGCAATCATGAGGAGAGGCAGAGGGCCTCCCCCTCCTCTCCTCCCCCTTCCCGCTCCCATCCCCTCCCAATACCCACACCCATCCTGTCCCCTTGTCTTGTTCCGAGTCCCACCTTAGCCCAGCTCCCGTTGGGTGCGCTTGATGCTGACGTCACCTCCCACTCGCCTCGCGCTGCCAGCTCGCCAAGTGACACCCTCCTGCCGCTGCCAGCTGTCAGCGCGCCACTGGCTGGGAAGCTGACGACGAGCCCCCCTCGAATCAGGTTACATGGGCTGGAAGAGTCGTCGCCGTCCACGTCAGCAGTCGCCACGTCATCGTCATTCGTCGCCGCGTGTAGGACCTCCTCCACCGCACCGTGCCACATCATCGCGCGGTACGACGTCACTCGAGCGCCGTCAATCAGAATGCGACACGTGGACTCGTCTGACGTGGACAGCTCAACGGTCCGAATCCCCGCGGCGCCAGAGAACTGGACAAAAGGCGAACCGTAATTCTGCTGAAGGAAGTATGGCGAGGCGCGGCCGGGTGACGTGGCACTCGCGGAAATTCGGAAACGAACTCTGCTAGAGCCAGACATTCGGAGGATTGTTCCATCACATATCGACGGAGGACGTGTTGCCACGGGAATTAACAGTACTGGCGCGAGCGGTGATTGGAAGGAAGGGAAAAAGGTACGCGCATTAGACGACACATTCCATAGGAGATTACGTGTGGATGCGGGGGTGTGGCCGTTAGGTCTGCGCCTCGAACACGGATTGCAGCGAGAGGACGAAGAAGAGGAAGAAGAAACGGCGGGTGTGATCGAGCTAACTGCGACCCGGTGAGACGCCGGCGGGGAAGCGCGAAGGAGATTCATGGAGAATAGCGATCGGTTGAGGTGATTCTACGAAAAAATCCTGGTGGCGACAACGGGAGTCTAGCAGGTTGATGGATATGTATGCGAGGAGGAAGGGAGGAGCGACGCGGCTCGAATCTGGGAATCATATTGCTGGGCTGGGTGGGAGGAGGATAATAAGGTGATGGGATGTAGGTGGGATGCGACGGGGTGGAGAGGGATTGCATTGCATATTCGGGATCTGGCGACGTCGTAATCGGTAGTGCGATAGCATCCATTGCTGCTTCTAGGGACATCCACGTAGATATGAATTTTTAGAAAGTGCGTAACAATTTCTAAAAATGTGTTTTTAAACACACGAAGTGTTTTTCAAAATTACGTATTTCGAAAGCGCAGCTGCCTGTAACGCAGATTTTGCATCGTCGAAGCGCGCTAAATGCCCTTCTCCAACTACAAAACGTGGGTTGGAGCTCATTTCCCTCCACCCACGTCTCTCATTTTCCAACGGCTCATGCAACTCTCCCACCCCCCACCCCGACACCGAGGACATCTGCGACGCCGCTGGAACAGGAGGACAGACAGTTAGTCATATGACTGGTAGTACGCACGCATAATGCAGGATAGCTAGTACAATACTATGGTAGGTGGAATCAGGTCATGTACGAGCATCTATATTGTCTAGCTCGAGGTGCATGTTGTAATAACCCAGTTGCAATGAGAACGATGCCAAATGATCAGTATAAGAAAGCAAGCTTTCTAAATTTTTGTGTTCAAAACCTCGGACTCAATGTGAGAGTAGGTGGATCTCCGTTCCTTGTTTGAGTCAGGGGCAGCATATTAAAGCCTTAAAACCATTGTTTCTTAAGCCATGTTCAAGGTGGTTTGTAACCAATGCTCTCAATTTCGAGCATTTTATAATGTAACCAATTCCGCAAGATCTGTCTTGGACAATCAATACAAAGGCACATACAAGGACACGTACCAGGGCAAATACAATTTTGAAAGGCATTATACCGGCAGCCAAGGATGGCATAGGGTAAGTCCCCTTTTTTCTACATATCACAAGCTTGTCGCAATGTGCATATACTCCTTCCTTGGCACAATGATCCGTGTGCCAGCTCTCGTGTCTCTTTCTCTCTCAATCTCCGCATGTCACGAGCCGGGACCCTCGGTCCCCTTCCCCCCATGGAGAACGGCCCTCTGGCCAGCCAGGACCCTCGGTCCCCTTCCCCCCATGGGGCACAGCCCTCTGGCCAGCCGGGACCCTCGGTCCCCTTCCCCCCATGGGGAACGGCCCTCTGGCCAACCGGGACCCTCGGTCCCCTTCCCCTCCTGGGAACGACGCGGGGATGTGCCAAGCGTTGACACTCGTCCGTGCGCAGATATTCCTGCAAACTGCGATCAGTGAAAACCAGAGCGGAGAAGACATGATTACTGACCAATTTGAAAAATGGAAACACATACCCGTGTTGCAATAAAAATCGTAATAACGGTGCAGGCGTCACGTCCGCATTGCCGGTAGAAGTTGCAGCGGTTGATGTAGCGGAGGCGTCCTGTCATGTCCGTGGCGTTTTCGCCTTGTCACACCACAATTTTTGCAGGCGCGCCCTTGCAATATCGTCAGGCTCGACTGTGGCGATATCGTCATCCGTCGCATTGGTGGCGATTTCGTTGTCAGTCTCGCTGGTGGCAATCTCGTCAGGCAATTTCGTCGCCAGGCGCGCCACTGGCGGTTTCGTCGTCAGGCGCGCCAGTTGCGCTTTTGTCGTCAGGCGCGCCTATGGTGATTTCGTCTCAGGGGAGCTGGCGATTTCGCCTCAGGGGAGCTGGCGATTTCGTCTCAGGGGAGCTGGCGATTTCGTCTCAGGGGAGCTGGCGATTTTGTCTCAAGCGCACCACAGGCGATTTTGTCTCAAGTGCACCATTGGCGATTTCGTCTCAGGCGCGCCTGAGGCGATTTCGTCACAGGCGCGCCTGAGGTGATTTTGTCACTTAGTCCGGGCCCGCTGGGTCATGCGCGCCCACTGGCAGAAGGGTACAGCTGTGGGCGCGTATAAGTCCTCTCCTATAATCGGAGTTCTGGTGCAGAGCGCCATCGCCTTCTATAAAAAGGAGAGCTATGAATGAGAAAGTTGAACGACGAGGTGGTTGGACGAGAATGGAATGGAACTGCGAAGTTCCGAAATGAAGACGTGGGTGGAGACCAAAAGGCCTCCAACCCTCGTTATGTACTCGGCGAATAGTAATTGGCCGTTGCCTTGCTTCGCTACAGTAAGCTGCGCTTTCACAATATTATCATATTTAGAAAGCTTGCTTTCTTATACTGATCATTTGGCATCGTTCTCATTGCAACTGGGGTCTCTGAGACATGGGCAGCGGGGGCTTTCGATGGCGGACGAGTGCCTCGGCATGCTGCGCTGAAGAAGGGGCGTATGCCAGATCTTGCAACTGACGGGAGGCGTTGACGAGGTGTTCGGCGTTGGGCGTGACGTACATCTCCTTCGCTGTGTCGCTGCGCCATCTGCCCAGTCGTTTGAAGATTCTGTCTGGCACACTGGTGTTTGCCGCGGCAGTGGCTACTCCTTTGCGAAAGGAGTGCGTGCCCAGCTGCTGTTCTCCTAATTCGATCCTCCCGAACGCTTCTTTACACCAGTTTCGGATCGTCGGGTATGATGACGGCCTTGCCTGGCCACTTTGGGGTGAACCGCGTCCAAAGACTCGAATAAGTGGCCCCGCAGATTGCTGGTTGTATCCCGCAAGCTGGATGAGTCGTCGGGTGCAGCGGACGGGGCAAAAGGGGTCATGAGTTGCGGCGATGGGTATCCATGTGCCCCTTCCAGCTTGGTCCATCTTGGAGTACGGAATTAGAATCCACATGACCTCGTTCTCGAACTCGATGTCTTGCCACTCGATGACGATGAGGTCCGAGTATCTTAAAAATCCGGTGTACATGAGGATGGGGATTAGCCCCTTTTGGAACTCTCATGGGTTGTCGGATTGCAGGTAGCTGGCAGACATGTCGTGGACTTGTTGCAGCGAGACAGGCTCCTTCACTCGCATGGGAAGAGGGCAGTGCCTTTTTGCGAAATCGCGTACTTGAGTGGTGAATGGTCCGATCGTTGGGCAGATGCTCCCGGTCATGCGGTGTGCAAAGCTCACGACTGAGCATGCATGTGAGTTGTACCATGGACAAGGTGGCTTTGTGTTGGATCGCGTACACCAGGTACAGCGCGAGGGTCATGTCCGCCGTGGGGAGGAATGGGAGGTTCACCTTTGCACAAAAGGCTCGAAACTTGACCCAGTATGGCTCATATGTTCGGATCGTTGAATCGGCCCGAGACTGGGAGAGCATCTTCAGAAGCTGGACTTGTAGCTTCGGCAACACGTCTGCGCACAAACGTGTAGGCGGGTTAGTTGAAGACCACTCGTAGTGCAATGATTGTGCTATGAGGTAGTCCTGTGCCTGAGAATGCAGTGCGGTGCGTTCCTACTGCTAGACATTGGCTGCCGTGCGTCAGGGGAATGTGCGCTCTGATGTGCGGGGCCCAGTTTGGTGGGGAGGGTTGTAAGAGTGGCCACCAGTTTGCCCCCGTCCAGTGTGGGGCGATTAGGGTGAGTGATGCGTGGGTGCGTTGCGCGTGGTGGATGACTGCTGGGATCAGCTGGGGCGGTGGGAACGCGAAGCCATTCTCGATTGTCCATGAGCATGAGAATGCATCAATCGCCGTAGCCTCTGGGTGAGGGACCTTTGAGCAGAATCGTGGCAGATGCGAGTTGCGATGGTTCGCGAAGAGATCGATGGAGTGGGGTCCCCAGCGGCGATCAAGGATTCGGAACCATGGTTGCTTCACTGAGTAATCGTCATGGTCGATCAGTTTTGACAGCTCGTCGGCATGGGAGTTAAGCTCACGCGGGATCCATTCGACAATTAGTAGAGCGCCGAG